GCCAGGTGACCTGCCTCTCAGGGTGTGAGCCTCCGCCATGGATTCCTTACCCAGCAGAATTCCCTCTGGGCCAGAGGCTTTTCATCTTGAGTCCTTTCCCTAGTGAGCAAGGTCTTATGGCCACTAGGCATTTCTTCCCATGGGAAGCCACTGTCCCTCTCTCTATTCCTGTCCCCAGGACAGGCAAGACTGGCTTCCCCACTTTGAATCTGTAACTCTTACTTGTAGCTCAAGACTCACAAAAGCACAAAGCCAGGCTTCCAAAACCAAAGGCTACACGATTTCCCTACTGTCTGCTGGATCCTGCCAGAAGTGAATCTTCCATCTTCTTTTCTCTATGTTTTACATGGGCTCCCTTATGCACAGTGGCCCATGCCTCTATTTTTCCTTTCTATCTCTTGGTAATGGTACCACTATTTGGATAAGAGTCTGTGGAAGAGTCCATTATATCTAAATGCCTGCCCTGAAACCTAACAATACCCTGTACAATGTAACAGCCCAAACAGGACACAGCCTACATGCCAGTTCCTGCAATCAGCTAATAAATCATGATGCCGGGTGGCTATACGGTGATGGGATGAAATACCCATAGTCCCACACAGCAGCAGAGTAACCCATCACTGGTAGAGAAATAGCCACTCTCACACAGGTAACAGGAGACCTGGGGTCCCTGGGTGTGACACTTTATGGGTTTCTGAAGCAGGCAGAACAGATCTATGTGCAAAGCGGTCAGTAGTTTAATCTTTCTAGAAGGTGTTGCACGAGAGGGCCCAGTAGCAGGAAGATTCTGGGAACTATAAATTTCTGTCCTTGCTCTGGGTGGTGCTTGCTCAAGTATGCACACATGTGAGTCTCCATACAGCTGTGGATGACTTACACATATTACTATGCCAGGTATACGTCAATATACAGTTAACATTTCCCTTCAAGGAACTCCTTGAAGGTGGTCACTAGGTCTCTTTCAGGGACAGCTTTACACCACACATTACAGCGGTCTCGTGGTTAGCCAGCCAGCCTATAGTGAGTGTGTGGGTAGACACTAACATAGAACCATTACGAGCAGAACTGTGAGGCATGGCTGTGAGAGGACCCTCTGTAAGAAGGGCCTCTGAACAAGAAGTGAGCAGAGCATCTCCAACTCCAATGATGCCACATGCTCTGTGGTGGGACTGATTGATACCCCACAGCTGTGTGTGAGTGGAGACGTCTCCCTGGCACCAGTGCCAGTGTGTGAATGTCCATGGCTTTATCATGGGGCTTGCACTCTTGGTACATACCTCTTCCCCTGTTTTCACAAAAGACAAAAACAAAGCAATGGGCAGTAATCTTCCCCTTCCACAGCCCAGAGACCCACAGTGTTTTGGTAAATTCTCTGTCTTGGGGTCCTGCTGCAGTTTTATCTTGGGACTCTGCTCACAGTGCTCTCACAGCCCAGTCCCCTTTCTACCTGGGACTTGAGTCTTATTTCTTATCTTAGCTTTATCTTGTAGTTAGTCCTTTCTCACTCTGCCATCCTAAGAAAAGGCAGGTCTTTGCTTCCTCTTGCACTTGGGTGGCTTCCTCTTTGTCCTGTGTTCTCATCTGTTGATTTAAGTGAAGGTGCTTGTGTAATGTCTTGGCATAGCTCAGGAACTGTGGTCTCCCAGGCAGCAGACAGGGTTCTCTGCGTTCAGGAGGAAGCCAGAGAATAAAGGGGCAAGCCAAGGAAGCATTGTTAGGGTAAACTTGTGCCTGCTGCAGAGGCCACGGCACAGGCGTTGGCCTCTATGGGGATGAGGGTGGTGCCACCATAAGGGGCACCCTGCATTGTGAATACCACTCCCTGGCTGCGCCTGTGCCTGTGCCTTTTGACTGTCTTTCTGGCTATGCACGAAGCTGTTATGGCCACTAGACCCCTCCCTTTCTAGTACCAACATTGAGACTGCTCTCATCTTCTCCCCTTCTGCAGCATGTTGGAGCACTTCCCGCTTCACATGCACTGTGCTGATACTCCTGCGTAAGTGGGATTATGGCAGCCCCTCTCCCATGAGGCTAGTGGAGAAGTGTGGGAGGCCTATGTGTGGGCCAGCAGGCTTGTGCGTCTGGGTACAAGGAGGGGCTGAAGTCTGGATCTCAGCAAGCAGGTGATGACATTGGGGTACCACTGATGCTTTAACACCACACACTTCCATCATTACAAGCCACACCCGTGTGTTCCCTGGTGATTAGAGAACAGAATCCAACCTGGGTCTCACAGGTAGAAGGCAGTCTGATCAGGGCAGCGCCTTGTGTAGGTTGGGGAGGTGAGGGGGGGGGTTCCCTGCTTCACACTAGCTTTAAATTTTCAGCAGTCCTCCTGCCTCAGCCTCCCATGAGCTGAGATGGCAGATATATGCCACCATACCCAGTTTGACTAATTTTTTCTTAGTGGATGTGAGTCTCTGGCAGTGCCTGGTTCACACACATGCAGAGGAATTCCTGACTTCTCATCTGGGTGTCAGAGAGACTGGGCCTCTGTGATCCTACTTGCTAAGCCTGGCACTGTCTTTAGGACCCTGGTTTCTGAAAGGGACCCTGCTATCCCCTGGTCACCTGTATGTGGGGTTTCTTGATGCCAGGAACTGCATGTTGGTCTTTTCTCTCCTTTTCTTCAAGAGCCTGTTGCAGTTTTATAATGACCTGCTGTGACATGTCCTACTACTCAGAGGAAGAAACTGAGGCAGGGGTCCGTTTTAACAAATATGTAGGAGGAATACCTGTGATATCAGCCCTAGAACAGGATAGAGATCCTGGTATCTTGGTGACACAGATAGGATCCCTGCACTGGGCAGACAGGGAGGCAGGGAGGCTGCACCCTGTTGCCCAAATGCTCCCTCTGCCCTGAGCTCCAGGCTGTCTGTTGAGCCTGTGTCTTCCATGGGAGATCACATTTGTCCTGTGTAGGTCCCTTTTAGGATCAGTTCCAGCCTGAACCTGCTGCTAGGGAAGCTTCTCTGAGAAGTCTCCATGTCCTGGACTGTTGTTGCCTCAGGGACCCACAGGGGAGCAGCAGGCTGTTTGCTGTAGGCAAACAGCACTCTAGGGTCACAGAGGAGACACAGGGGCAGGGAGGTCAGTTAGTGTGGGATTCTATTCTATCAAATCCACAGAGGTTAAACCTCAGAGAATATGAGGCTGTGGCTGCAAAGACTGCAGGGGTGGGCCAGTCACCAAAGCCAGACCAAGAGAGATGGGTGTGTCCTGAAAGCAGCCAGGATTAGAGTGTCTCCAATCCAGAGAGAGAGGGGGGGAGAGAGAGAGAGAGAGAGAGAGAGAGAGAGAGAGAGAGAGAGAGGGAGAGAGAGAGGTTTCAGTGTCACAGGACACTGTATTTGGAAAGTGAGTGTGGTATATATAACCAGAGGTAGAGATGCAGGTGTGGTCATACCAGGGCTGTCCCCCATGCAGAGGGAGGAAGAGTGAAGCCTGGATGGGGACTGGAGCCTAACAGCCCAGTGGTGCATTTGCAGCGAGGTGTGGGGACATTTGGGGAAGCCACAGAACCTGGCAAAGAGCCATGTCCTCACTGCCATACTCTGCTTATGGGCGTCAGGAGCAGAATCCCACAAGATGGGTATGTTTGGCGGTTCCTATGGGCAAACGGGCCACTACAAGCTAACTTGCATTTGGGGAGTAGCATTGGTGAGCAGGGAAGAGGAACTTGGACTTCACCTCATCTAGAGGAAGTTGTTAGCACCTCTCTCCCTTCCGCCTCCCCAGTTCCTGGTGATGTCTTGAGCAGAAAAAGATGCTATCATGTCCCAGTGTCAGAATTCTGGGAAGAACAATGCAAATGTCTTGATGTGCCCTGGCGCTAAGATCCCTCTGTTGTCACAGTGTCCCCAGATGTTTGCTTGCCTGGGGCTCTAGGCACAGGTCCTCAGGCTTCTAGGACCTAACAGTAGTCTCCACCCCTTTCCTTGAATTATTTACAAGAATTTGTGGTACTAGACTGTCATACCACAGACTGCCACAGGAGGCACTCTTTACAGTTTGTTCCAAGTTTTGAACATGTAAACCAGAACCCTGATCTATCAGCCTAATCCCATTAAAGAAGTTTGTTTCATGCAACTGGACAGGTCATTCAGATGCCAAAGCGCTTTGATACACAAACATAAGGACCTGAGTTCAGATCCCCAGTGTCCACATAGATATGAGTGTGGCGGCACACATCTGTAATACAACTGTTACCTACCCCAGGGCACAGGTGTACATGTTGAGCCAAGTGGAGCCTCAAAGCTCACTGGCCAGTCTAGACAAGAGGTGAGTTCCAGGTTCAGTGAGATCCTGTCTCAAAAAAAAAAAAAAGAGTGAATGCAATGATAGAAAATATTGATAGAGAATATATCAATTGTTGTTCATACTACACCACACACACACACACACACACACACATGCATACACACACACACACACACACATGCATACACACACACACACACACACACACATGCATACACACACACACACATGCATACACACACACACACACACACACACATGCATACACACACACACACACGCACCACATATACCACACAGATACTATACATATACTATAGACTATAATAATAATTTTTAAAAAGGTTATTTCCAAACAGATGTATTGATAATAGCCAATGACTATAAATAAGTCCCACATGCCCCTATCAGGAGGGACAGGAACAGAATCTATGCATGCACCTATGGAGAGGGCTGTGAGACACCCTGCACACTGTCACTAATATGGAGAGAAAGCACAGTCAGAGGATGCTGGGCACATGACCGTTTCCGCAGAGTTCACACTGAAAAAAAAAAAACCAACAACAAAACAATCTGGGCGGTTGGTGATGCCATCTGTCTCAAGATGTGGAAGAGGACCACGTGGCTGGCTAGGCGTGTGTACTTGGGGTATGCACACGTTGTGCATGTGTGTCCTGCTTTAACCGGAGACCTCACAGTAAGACGTCCTGTGCTCACCAGACACACTGCTCTCTCCACAGATTGATGACCAGTGTGAGCTGAAAGCCATCGAAAGAGAAAGGACTGTCACAGCTCTGCCACCCAGGGAAGCGTGTAAATGCAGCAAAGAGGATCTGGCCAGAGCCTTCCATGTAAGAATTGTGTTTGTATCTGTGTTTATTACTTTTCTCGTTGTCTTGACAACAGTGCTGCCCAAAGGCAGCTTAAGGGGAGGGTCTTTCTGGCTTCTGGTTCAAGGTGCAGTTTGTCATAGCAGGAAAGTCCTGGGGACAGGAGCATGAGGCAGCTGGTCACCTATATCTGCAGTCGGGAAGCAGAGAGAGATGGATGCTAGTGCTCAGCCAGCCTCCCTCCCCCAGGGAATGATGCTACCCACATGCAGGGTGGGTCCCATCTCAGGAAAACCTTCCTGGAAATGCCCTCACAGACACACCCGGAAGTGTGTTTATGAGGATTCTAATTCCTGTCACGTTCACGAGCTGACCCATCGCACCTAGTACCATTGTGAAGTAGTTTGTGGACTAAGAAAGTACCACAAAGCTGTTAGTGTAGAATGGCTTGGATTTCTACACAATCTCTAGGGTCAGTGCTGCTGCCCCTAGATCCAGTCCCTATATTCCCTTCTAGAGGCCAAGGGTCCTTCAACCACAGTTCCTTTGGCAGGCAAAGAATGATGAGAACCAGAGTGAGTGACCAGCATGGTTAGGAAGCCACACGGCCTGGGCTCCTCCAGGATTTTGTTGTCATGGTTCAAAATCTTTGCCATGCCTGCCTCTCACTTTTCATCTTTTATGACATGGAGATACCAGTGATAGACATCAAACTCTCATGAGCACCTAAGGGAATTAGAATTTGTGTGTGTTAGGGGAAAAAACAGCCCTTGCCTAGAGTCTGCCTCTGCCCTCTGGTGCCACAGGATGGAGCCAGCATTATACCATTAGCTTATGTTACTTGGAACATCAGCAGAAATTGTGGTGCATGGATGTGTGTGCATGTACATGTGTGTGAGGGTATGTGTGCATTGGTATGTTGTATGTGTGTTCATGTACATATATATGCACGTGCTTGTATGTACAGGCATGTGTATGCATGCATGTATGTGTTACATGGATATATGTGTAACTGTACATGGGTATTGGGATATATATAATTGTACATATATGTGCACATGTATGTATGCACATGAGTATGATGTGCATGTGGGGGTATGTGTGTATAGGTATGTTGTAGGTATGTGTATATACATACATGTTCATATGCATGTGTGTACATGAGTGTGTGTATACAGCATATATATTACATGGGCATGTGCATGTCTGGGTACGGGGGTATAAGTGTCTGCATGTGTAAACATGCGTATGTACATATTCATAGCTCATCTTGCTTTTGGAAAAGAAAGTCCAGCAGGGAAAGGGCATTTGGTACCATCCAGGCCTTAAGAATGTCCTGAGTCCATCTCAGTCCTGCTTCTTGGTGAGAAAGGGAGGAAGGTCTTTTTCCTTGTTCAGTCATTTCCCCAGCTAGAAAGTGAGCTAGGCCCTCCTTTCCTACTGAAAACACCTGGAACACACTCTAGCTTCCCTCTCACCCCCAAAGCCCTGTGCAGCATTCTCGATAAGTTCCACATGAGCTCAAAGCTCCCTGACATGATGATCAGCACTTAAATTGGCTGTGTCTAATGATTTTGTTCACATTGAGGGCCTGTGCTAGCATCTGTCATGGATATATGATATAGTTACTTCAGCCACTCCAATCTCCCAAGGAATGCCTGTTTTGTTTTTAAGATGTAATTTAATGATACTAAGATATACAATATTAGTCATTTGGGTTTGTTGTTTGGGTTTGGTTTTGGATTGTTTTTGTTTGTTTTAAGACAAGATTTCGGTATGTAGCCCAGGCTAGCTTTGAAATTCACAACACTGCCTCAACTTCCCAAGTATGGCAGTCACAGGTATACCCACCATGCCTAGCTCTCTTAACCATTTATGTTTTGTTTTATTTTGAATCAGGGTCTCATGTAGCCCAGGCTGTCTCAAAATCACCCTGTAGCTGAGGTTGTGGTTGAACTTCTGGTCGACCTGCCTCAGCCTCCCAAATATTTGGATCACAGGTGTGTACCACCTGGGTACCACAGGTGAGCACCCAGGATTTCTTAACTTTTTAAGTGAATGTGTGGTTAAAAACAGTTGCCACTTTTTGTCAATGGCACCATTATCCATCTCTGGGATTCTGACCATCTTTTACAACCCTGGGCTCTGTCCTCACTGAACAACAGCCTCCACCTCCCTCCTTCAGGCCTCACAGCTCTGCTTGCATCCTGACTGTATGAGCTGTATAGCCTTCTCTTAGGGATGACATCTCCAATCAAAACCTTTGGACCTGTATAGCCAGAGTGGAATGGCTGGGTCATGTAGAAATTTTGTTTAATATTCTGAAATGCTACTAAGTAGCAGCTACATCCAAGGTTCTCTCTCTCCCCTTCCCCCAACCCGTGTGTGTGTGTGTGTGTGTGTGTGTGTGTGTAGGAGCACAGGCATGCATGCAAAGGCTAGACATCTATACTTTGACATGGGCTCTCTCCCTGGCCTGAGGTTCACTGATTATCCTTATCTAGCTGGCTGTTGAGCCCCAGGGATCTTTCTGTCTCTCCTCAGTGCTGGGATTGCAATCACATACAACCACACCTAGCTTTTTTGAGTGGGTTCCAGGTTGATCTAGGTCCTCATGTATGCATGGCAAGGCTTTTCTTTTCCTTCCTTCCTTCCTTCCTTCCTTCTTTCCTTCCTTCCTTTCTTTCTTTCTTTTAACTTTTTTCAAGACAGGGTTTCTCTGTGTAGCCATGGCTGTCCTGGAACTTGCTCTGTAGACCAGGCTGACGTCCAACTGCCTCTGCACACCTCTGTCTCTCAAGTGCTGGGATTAAAGTTGTCTCCACCACTGCCCTGTTTCTGCCTCTACTCTCCAGTTCCATTTGCTGACACTGTCGCTCAAGGCCATTGTATGTTGACCTGTGGGCTTATTGGGAAAGAATAAGGCTTTGTTTCCCTCTCTCTCTATCCCAGTATCTCTAAGCCAGTCTCCATGGATGAATCCGTTTTCCTAGTCCACCCTAGAAGATGCCTGTTCTCATCCAGTACATGTGATTTGTTTCCTTGGTCCTTGTTGGCTTGCTACACTCAATATCTCTTTTTAGGTGGACCTGGACAGTGGTCTGTCAGAGATGGCAGTGGCCCAGCGCAGGTTGGTCCATGGCTGGAACGAGTTTGTCACTGATAACGTTGAGCCTGTGTGGAAGAAATACCTGGATCAGGTAGGGGCAGGACACCCTTCTCTGTGTTCACTAGAGGCACTAGCCAGGAAGGGCGGGCCAAGCAGTCATTCTTTAAATATTGACCCTGGGTACCCTTGGACAGGTCCCACCTGTGGTGTGGGATGAATGAGTTTCAGGATAAATAGTCCTGTCATTTTGGATGCTCTGAGCCTCCAGGAGGAACTCTACAAAGTGACTAAAGATATAGGTAGCCATGACCTTGACTAGCACTGACAGGCACTAGGGACACTTGTCACAGACCAGGTGCCATGTCAAATGGTAAGTAAATAAGTAGTGTTACCTTATTTTATCACCCCCCTAAAGCAAAGGGAGAGAGTGTGGTAGAGAAGCAGGAAGTCTTTGCTTGGCAAAGACTTTGCATGACACATAGCTTTGCCAGAGAAAGCAAAGAGAGACACGGATGCCCTGGCAAACAGGCATTTCAGAAGATCAAGGAAGAAACAATTGAGTAGACGTGTGCCTCAAGAGATCATAAAAGTGAAGTTACTGTCGGCGTCAGGCTGGGGAAACAGCTCAGTCAGTCGAGTGTTTTTGATGAATAATGAGCACAAGGACCTGAGTTTTGCTTCTAGAATCTACTTTTGAAAAACTGAGTTTGGTGGTGTGCAATCGAAATCCCAGTTCCAGGGAAGTGGAGACAGGTGGATCCAGCCAGCGTAGCCTACTTGGTGAGTTCCAGACTAGTAAAAGGCACATCCCAAAAAGTAAGGTGGACAAACCCAAGAACAAACCAAGGTTACACCCTGGCTACACACACACACACACACACACACACACACACACACACACACACACACACTTCCCTGTACATTTCAAGTTTACCTGCTCATCTTGGGTGCAGGAGCCCAAAGTCACCCAGAAGTAGGCTGTGATGCAGCCCGCCCCTGAGCACCCACCAATCTCAGCCGCTGAGCTTGGTGGTGGCCTGGTGCTGATAGGTGTGCTACAAGTCAAATGTCTAGCTGGCATTAGGAAAAGAGGAATGGCCATGGCTGCTAGTTCTGATCTAGAAGTCTGGTCTAGAAGTTTGCTCCCTGACTAGGCAGAGATCTCTGGCACCAGAGCCATCCAGGTAGACAGTTAATTTACCTCTCTTTCTCACTCCAAGCCAGACATTCTCTCTTCCTGTTTGTAGACTCCTGGGCTGCCCTCTGATTGGTTCTATTTTTAAAGCTTTCTTGATTGATTGGTTCAAAGACCAATCACACAGTTCAGGTAGCATCCCCATCTCTCCTTCTGGCCTTCACTCTGATCATCACTCAGTTCTCAGTGCCCTGCATTGGCCATTTAGCACCATTGTTCAGGCAGTGGAGGGTCCTGGAAGTTAAGGCCTAAGGATGGAGATTTAGACAAGCAGAGATCAGACAGCTCTGTCCCATTGGCTTTCTGCTAGGTGTCTGCCCTGTCTTCGTTTCTTCTGGGATCCTCCTCCAAGCTCTGTCCTAAGTTTCTTGGAGACTTTGCTTGTACACTAAAGGCTTCCTGCCCCCCTGACAGTGGGGAGCCCTCCAGTGACCAGTGGGCTGGCTCTGCTTTGGATGGCAGGTCCCCTTAAACAGCTCCTGAGGGTCTGTGGAACATGGTGGGGTCTGGAGAAGAAACATTTGTACCCTGTGGCATTGCTCTTAGGGAGGAGGCTTCAGCCTTCTGGATGAATCTATCTGTACTTTGAAGTAGGTCTTGGGCTTTGAGGGAAGCGGGTCCCTTCTCCTCACCAGGAAACTCCACCCCATGTGTCTCAGACCCAAGTGCTAGAGATTGCAAACATCCCACTGTGTGGTAGGATTCTCTCCAGAAGAACCACCCATTCCTATCCCTTCCCATCTCTCCTCTCTGCAGCCCTGGCAAGGAGGATGAGAAACTTCCTGTTAGAAGAGGCCATCCCTGGAGCTGCATAGTCACTGTTTATCCCTTACTCCATTACCAAATATCACTGTATCAGCCTGGGTCCATGGCCAGTGGGGACTTATTGAGCCCTGGGAAGGATGCTCTCATTACCAGGAGCAACTAGGCATGGAGATTCAGACATGAAATCCCAGCACTCAGAGGCTGAGTTCTGGGTTAGCCTGTGCTACATATTGAGATGCTGACCCAGAAAATTAAAATAGCCAGGCATGTTGTGTATGCCTGTGACCCCAGCACTTGCAACATGAAAAGAACCAAGAGTTCAAACCCATCCTTGACCATGTAACCAGTGTGAGATGCCCCTATCTCACAAACCAAACTGAAAGAAAGAGAGGGGAGGGAGTGTGAGGGATAGAGAGAGGAGAGGAGAAAAAGGAAGACAGCATGCCTGCACCCTGGAAAACAGAGGCTGGGAGAAGTCAGAGATGGCTCCAGGTTGTATGTGAGTCAGTGGCGGGGACAGGCAGGAAAAACCAGATTTCCAAGTTCACCATACCATACCACTAGACCCTGTGCTGGGTCATGAACAAACTGCTGCATCCAGGGCAGACAGGGTCTGTGACATCTGAACTGTCATCTCCCAACTGTCAAGTAGAGGTAGGTTGGTAGAGTCAAAGGCAAACCATAACCCCAAACAAAATGTATTTGTGCCTCCTGATGTTGAAGAGTTGAGACTTCTGCTAGAGTCAACTCTGGGCTGCTACCAGCAGAGCTACCCCAACCTACTGGGTAAGGGTGGGGTTCATCCCTTCACATGTTACACAGGGCTGTGGGAACCCATGTTCTGAGCCATATTTCCTCTTGCACCTTGGCCATTGGGAAGCTCAGAGGTGGAGATATGCTTGTTGACCCTTCAGGGTTCTCCCTGGTCTCCTTGGCTCTGCTCTTTGACACTGTTTTCTGTTTGTACTTCTTTTCGATTCTCTGTAACATGAACCACCTTGATGTTAGGGGTGACAGACAGCGGCAATCAGAAGTTCTTGAAGAAATCTCTGGGACATCTGACCCTATGTGGCACATGTACACGTGTGGGGACTAGAGGTCAACCTATGAGGAGCATCCCTAGAGTCACCACAGATTTTTACAAGAGCAGAGTAATCGTGGCCCACGGGGTTGGGGGTCTGTTGTGGCAAGAGAGGGGCGCTTAGTGATGGTAGCCAGGATGGACATCCACCATGTATTTCAAGGAAACCCTTGAGGGATGAGGTGTGGCCAGGCAAGAAAAAGAACTCAGAGTCAGGGCCAGGCCTGAATGGAGCAGTGTCAGGAGCAGTCCAGAAGGCTGTCAACAGAGGGCTCCCTACAGAAGAGGAATACCAGTAGAGCAGTCCCTCTTCCCAAGCCCTTAGCCACTGTAGGGAAGATGTAAGCCCAGCCCGACATGAAGGTCTGAGCTGCCCACCAGCTGCAGGTAGGAGCCTTCACTGGCCTTTGTGAAATAAGACCTGCCCTGTTGTTCATCTTCCAGTTCAGGAACCCCCTGATCCTGCTGCTGCTGGGCTCCGCTGTGGTGAGTGTCCTCACCAAGGAGTATGAGGACGCCATCAGCATCGCCCTGGTGAGTGACTGACAGCTGCAATCTCTGAACAGGGATGCCCAGGGCTGGCTGTGGCTCTGCAGCCAGTTGTTTTTCAAAACGTATTATGGTTTGTGTATGTGTGTGTGTGCATGTGGGAACACATGTGTGCACACAATCAGAGGCTAGAATCAACCTCAGCTGTCATCTCTCAGGACCCATTCATCTTGTTTCTGGACACAGAACTTACCACTTAGGCAGGCTTGGCTGGCCAGTAAACCCCGGGACCCACCTGTCTCTCTTCCCCAGCACTGGGGCTGCTGGCTTTTTACTTGGATTCTGGGGCTCAAACTAAGGGCTTCATACTCACAAGGCAAGCATGCTGCTAACTGAGCCCTCTCCCTAGCCCTGTGGCCACTTGGCACACAAGAAAAAGGGGTGGGAGTTTACTGTGAACAACGAAAGAAAGGACAGATTAAAAACAAGCAAATCCACCACTTGCCCCTCTGTCAGCACTGAGGGAGCTTTGTGGCATAAGCAGCCCCAATATGAAGGGGTCTGATTGGGGGAAGACTGCTTTACCACCATCTCCCCTCCCTATGGGATCTGAGTGTGTTATAAAATGCAGCCACTCCCTATTAGTTGCTTTTCTCTCTGCTGCAATCAAATACCAAAAGGAGGCCTTATTTTGGCTCAGGCTTTGAGAGGGGTCAGTTCAGCAGGTGGTGAAGGCTGTGAGAGCAGTGCATGGCTGTGGCTGCAGAGGAGCGAGTTAGCCTGCTCACATCTAGGCAGATCAAGAAGCAGGACCGCAATATAAACCTCCATTCTCCCCTAGCCACCCACTCCCTTCGGCTAGGCCCCCACCTGCCAAAAGTTTCACAGCTTCCCAGAACAGCACCACTATCTGGGGATCAAGTATTTAAGCCCATGAGCCTTTAAGAGGTGTCTCACATCCAAGCCACAATACCCTTAACCACCATTACCTAGAGGAGACTTCACCTTTTAATTTTTCCTCATTTGAGTGAGATATACATTAAAACTGATCATTTTAGTCATGTGTGATGGTGCATGCCTTTAATATCAGAACTCTAGGCAGAGATAGTCAGATCTCTGTGAGTCTGAGGCAAACCTGGTCTACACAGCAAGTTCCAGGACAGCCTGGGCTACATAGAGACTGCTCAAAAGAAAAAATTGATGGTTTTAAAGTGAATTCAGTGAGATTTTGCACATTCATTTAATCACTTCTGTCCAGTTCAAAAGCACCTTCATTTCCCCCAAAAGGAACGCCATGGCATTGACAGACATTTGTACCCCACCCCATCCCAACGCCCCACCCCTGTGCAGCCCTGATGGCCTCCACTCCTCACATCTCTCTGGGTTTAATCACTCCTGTGTCTGACCCTGCAGATGATTTGGACAGCTCTCAGTACACTTGTTTATATCCACAGCCCGTCCCACATGTGGAGGTCAGCATTTTCTGCTTTTCTCTGGACACTGAGTGCAGAGCCACACCTGCAGGTAGAGGAGAGGCCCCGAGCTGCAGGGAGAAAAGCAGCAGGCTATAAGGGAACAACACATCTGTGTCACATGATGTCATGATGATGATAGTGTGTCTGCAAAGAAATCCAGAAGGGCTCCCCTGTGTGGGAGCCCTGGGGAGTGGGATGTGATGGTTTTTCTGGTACTGGGCAGGGGACACTTGGCTGCTTGCTGAGTTTCAAGAACTAGCAATGTATGCTGTCCTGTTAGTGCTGTACCTCACACATGCAGGACAAGTGCCCTGCCCCTAAGCCACACTCCCAGAATGCATTGGGGATCCCAGGCAGGGACTCTAGCCCTGGGTGATCCCCCCCCCCACACACACACGTGCAGTCCTCTTTTTATAGGTTGAGACATGGTCTTCTAAGTTGTTCAGGGAGGCTTCCTGCCTCAGCCTCCTGAGCAGCTTGAATCACCGACCTGCACCTCTGGGCTTGGAGTGCAGTGCGCTTTCAGAGCTCCTGTGCTCTGGTGGCTGGCTCTGGCCTCTCTGACACTGGAAGTCAATGCTCACATCCTCCCTTCCTGGCACCCTGTCTTCCAGGCCGTGCTCATCGTGGTGACAGTTGGCTTCATCCAGGTGTGTACATCCTGAGATCCCATCTGTGTGGGATAACTGGGACATGAAGGGCACTGGCCTTGTCGGGGTCCCCACCTTTGAACAGCACATCTCATGTGCTTCCTGCCAGGAATACAGGTCGGAGAAATCTCTGGAAGAGCTGACCAAGCTGGTGCCTCCAGAGTGCAACTGGTAAGTGAGGGCTTCCATGAGCCTGTGATCTACGGCAGAAGCTGATGGATGCACTAATGAACTTGACCAGTGCTTGGCAGGCTCTGTCTTCTCGATGGTGTGACATGAGGAGGGGTGTTGCGGTGATAGGGGAGGGACAAGGGGACAGCCTTGCTATGACACTGGAAGAAAAGTCGACACTGGAGGAGGAGCCATGTAGCAGCAGGAGTGTGTCTGATGCTCTTGGCTACAAAGAATGGAAAAGTTAATTACATAGGATGCAAGGAAACGACATTGTGTCTCAGAGAGGGATGGGGGGAGGTGTGGTTGGCATGGTGCCATGGGCTTGCCCTTGCCTCCTTACTTTGCCAATTTTGGGTTGTTGGCATTGCACTCTGATTGGCTTCACTTGTGGTGCCAATGTGGCTGCCACAGCTCCAGACATCATAGACACAAAACTGTGAAAGTCCCACTGAAAAGACTGTGTGTCTTTTCAGAGGAAAGAAAACTGTTGTTGAGAGTTCCAACCAGCAGCATCTCATGTCTCATAAGCTGGAGCTCTGTGATGTGTTAGTGTGTAAGTCTGTCACAGGCGAGGATGGACCACTCTGGTGATTATGCCACATGTTTATAGCTAAATATGTACCTGTAGGGAATAGTGGAGGCCTAAGCAAAATCGTGTCCCCTGCCAGGATAAAGGGGATACCTACCCTCACTGCCAAGGTCTATAATGACCCTAAGACCACAAAGTGGGTATGTTTAAGACCCCAGTGGAACCAGGAATAGCAGCAGGTCAGGCAGCAGATTGTGGGGTTGCCTCCAAGAGCATGAGAAAGCGCTGGAGTGTTTGGAGGAATGAGGGAAGTTGTCCTAGCTCTCCCTGGTTGATGGCCAGCTGAACAAGAGGCCAGAGGGACTAGGAAAGGGGGCATTGCAGTAGGAACCTGGTGGCCAGACAGCCACTGATTATCCCAGGGCAGGTGGCTGTGCACTGAGAAGGGCCAGGCTTCCCAGGAATGGAAGTTGCCCAACCCTCCCCCCACCATGATGTCCTTCCTTCCTGGCTTCCAAGCCAGGGTGGTATGCCCTCTCAAAGTGTGTTTTCCCAAATGTCATTCAGAGGCCATAAAGCAGCTGGCCTCCAGCAGTAGAGGCTTCCGGAGGCTATAGCCTCATTTCTCAGGTGAGACTCAGGGTTTCTCAGTAGCCATATGTCTTCCCAAAGTATTTTGAGATACAAAAGTTTAAAAAATAGAACTATAAAATCTCAAGTTTGCTTGCAATAGAAACCCCAAGTTGTTCTCTAAATCCACTTGTCAAAGGGAATGAAATGGGGTTCACCATTCTGCCTCCTCTCCCACACAGCCTGAGGGATGGCAAGCTTCATCACATGCTCGCACGAGACTTGGTTCCAGGAGACATCGTGTCCCTATCTATAGGAGACCGGATCCCAGCTGACATCCGACTCACTGAGGTGAGCTACATGTAACAGCTGGTCCTGATGAGCAGGCAGAAAGAGTGTTGGCATAAGACCCACCCCCAAAGTCATCTAAGTGGCTTATCTTCTAAGCACAGAGATGCTCCTGGCTATGTGCCTTCCATTTCTATAGTTTGTTACTCCCGGTCAACTGTGCTCCAAAAATATTAGTAATTTTCTCCACGAGAGAGAGAGAGAGAGAGAGAGAGAGAGAGAGAGGACATTTATTATAATCTGTTCTGATAGTCAGACATCCTCTGGGGAACTGGGAACATGGCCCCATGGCTGAGGGGGACAGCCAGCACAGGCCTAACACATCTTGGTCATGTGGAGCTTTGTACATATGTTTGATTTCATGTGTGTTCATGTGAGAGTGGAGGCTGGAGGCCCACCTCGGGTGTCATTTCTCTGGTACTGTCTATCTTGGTTTTTGAGATGGAAAGTAGCCTCAACTGGCTGAGCAGTTAGCCCCAGAACCTATTTCCATCTCCCTAGCTCTTAGGTTATCACCACACCCTGATGCCACAGTCACCGCCTCCTCTTCCTCTTCTTCCTCGTCCTCCTCTTCATCTTTTCTTTTTTCTCCTCCCTGCATAGGTCTGGGACTCAAATCAGCACTTTACCAGCTAAACTATCTCCCAGCCCTGCTTATGTGGTTTATAGAGCAGATCACAATCGCAAAATCATCCAGAGCAGGACTGGGGGAGGCTATCGGCTGCTTCATTGCAAGGAGGGAAACTGAGGCAGAGAGTCATCAAGTGCAGCCAGGACCTGATTTGGTGACTTCAGTGGGACTGGCTCCTCTCACACCCTAAGGGTTCAGAGTTGAACCATACCTGGGATTCTATGAGATGATGCTATATTCTGGAGAAAGGACTGGGTGACAGAATCACCCCAATGACAAATTCTTCCAAGAACAGTCAAGTACTGTTTGGACTCTTAGTAAGCAGGTGACTGAGGGGTTTATTCACAGAGTCCTGAGGATGCTGCACAACCAGTCAGGAACTGTATTTAGGGGAGGCAAAGAGGCAGAGCTGTGAGACCCGCTGCATATAAGCCTGGCTTTGAACTCAACACCTGAGATTCTAACTGTGTAACCCAGAGCTCTTTACTTACCCTAGTTTCCTTATAATGTAACACAGGAGGTAATAACAGCCTGGGGCAGTTAGAAGAGTTAAATAGCTTTATGGATACAGAACTGTGAGAACACTGACCAGCTCATAAGGAACTCTGTGTGTGAGGGGCAAGGGAACCTTGTAGTTTAGGTCCTGGTTCTGTGTCTCATTACATAACTGGCATTTGTCCAGCCTGCACAGAGTTACAGTGTGGATGGGAAATCCATGACCTATAAAGGCCCAGATACTGGCAGGGGAATTTATGTTTCTGAAGCCCTGACTAAACCACAGACCTTTAAGTACCTTCCCTTAGTGCTCCCGGCTCTTGGAGTCTCATGTTCATTTCAGTAACACTCTGTGCATGTTGCGAGTGCAAGAGTGTCACCATCATGCCACATACATCTCCCTGCTGGCATTTTGCAACTCCCCGGGACAATCAGTGGCTTTGTTTATTATCATCAGAAAAATTTTATCGCTGATTAAGCTCCAAGACTCAGGAGTGGCCAGCTCTGACCACTGAGTTCCGGGAACAGGAGGTTCACAAGCCTGAGAACAGGACCCACAATAGCCTGTGCATGCACGGCTGCATGGGGTCATAAAGCCTTACCTTCTGTTCCCCTGAGTGGGAACAAAGGCAGAAGTTCTTGGCTGTTCTTTCCGGTGGAGTCGACAGTGAAGACAATTGAATGGAGTTGTCAGACATCCAAGGAAATCCTAGCACTGCGGATCAGCATGCAGAGGAGTGGAAAGAACAGGAACACATATGTGGCCTGGAAAGGGATGGAGCCTCCATGGGCCCCGGCCTCCAGCACAGCCACCTTGGTCATGCTGGGGCTATGTGGATTATGTCCCCATTTCTACCTCAGATCCACTGCCGTCTCCCCACCCCCACCCCCTGCTTCATATCCCCACAACTATCTGTTCCCTCCTTATTTGGATGCTTTATCCAGGGCTCCTGGGAAGAGACCAGTGTGTATCTATGACCACATACTGCAAATTTTAGTCTAGGCCATCAGAGCCATGTTCCCAGTGGTGGCCCACCAGACTTGGCACCCTAGTAATGTTACAGCCATCTTGGCTTAGTCAGCACACTCGGTGACGTCGGCTCAAATTGAAGTTGTCACATTTGTCAGAGTGTCTTCCCAGCATTAACACATGTGGCTGAGTTTGTACATAAGGAGCCTGTTGACACTGTGGGAATCCCTCTTGTCACCACCTGGTGACCTACATGGCTATACAGCCCCCCGAGGTGGCACTCAGGGTGGCATTACACCTGAGGCTCCAATCTGCTGTCCTTACCTCCCTCTTCTATGACTGTTCTTCTAATGACCCTTCTGCCAATCAGGGACCAGCAGCTGTTGTAACAAGACTGAGTCCAAATATAGGCAGACCATGCTTCTTCCCAGCTCTAGAGACTAGTAGAGGTGTCAGTCCACGCTCCTTCCAACCCTTAGCCCCTCTCTGATCACTTGTCCTTCCCAAGGATCTTGGGATGATGCCATTGCCCCTACTCTCTGGAATCAATATAATCGCCCCATTTCAGAACGCCTTTCACTCCTGCCAAGTTGCCTCTGCTAAACTGGGTGGTGCATCTGCATGTTCTGAAGATAGGGATACAGGTGTCTTGGCAGGGTCCACACCCAAAGACCTTCTTTGAGCTCTTCTTTCCATACCAGAGCCTCGTGCATGCTAAACCCACACATACCACACTGAGTTACATCTCCTGCCTTTGCTTTGCTTTTGAGACAGGTTTCACTAAGTTGTCCAGGCTAGCTTTGAACTTTTGGTCCTCTTGTCTCAGCCTCCAAGTTCTGAATGACAGACTGGTCCTGCCAGGCCCAGCTGGTCTAAGGTGTCTATGTGCAGGGCACTATGGCTGAGTACCAAGGATACTACAGAGAGCAGCCCTGCCCCTGAACTTGGGTTTAGAGCCCAGAGCAACAGGCCTGAGCCTGTCCTTGCAGGTAGCTGTTCAGTGGCTGTTGGGAGAGTATGATGGAATTTCCTGGGCTCCTTGGAGACAACTACTTTGGGGATAGCTTTGAGGTCAAATGGACAGGAATTATCTGTCTGGGGCAGAAAAGGGCTCAAGTTACAAGTCAGGTCTGACCTCCACACAGGCCTGTCTTCACACTGGGACCCTGTCTGCTGCTGGGACTGTGTCTGTGTGTCCCCTTCCTTCCCACCCCCATAGACTTGGCCCTTCCCATCTTGAGATCTCAGCTCAGGTCTATCTTTCCTCCCAGTCTCCTCCAGTGGCTTTTCTCCCTGTCCTGTAATGACTTTAGCTGCTGAGCCCTCTCACTGGCCCTGTCCCACCCCATTAACAACTCACAGAGGGAATTGAATCACAGCACACACAGAGGGGAGGCACTCATTCCATATAGAGCAGAGCTTTTGTTTATCATGCCAGAAGCAGTGGTGGAAGGTGCTGGGTGAAAGCACCTGGGTTCTTGGACAGAAAAAGACACATTCCAATAAGCAGCTGAGCCATATTTTCCAGTGAATCTGACATTGCAAATAGCATTAAAGTGTGAGACTTGCGTGTCTTCCCGGAGGGGCCCAGAGCTCTTGGCTTTTTTGATTTTATGATTCTGAATCTGGGTTTCCAAGGATCCTTCCCTACTTGACATCTTATAGGGCTTTTGGTATTGTTACAAGCTTGGAAGCTCTGAAGGGCAAGAGGGGAATCTCAAGAGTTTCACTTTTGACCCTAGGTCACAGACCTCCTGGTGGATGAATCCAGCTTCACAGGGGAAGTGGAGCCATGCAGCAAAACAGACAGCCCATTGGTGGGCAGTGGCGATCTCAGCACCCTGAGCAATGTGGTCTTCATGGGGACACTGGTACAATACGGGAAGGGAAAGGTAAGCAGAGCCCCTGGGGGCCTGGAGCCCTGGGATCCTGGCTGTGCAGCTCCCAGCCCTGTGTTACTTCCTCTCTCCTCTACACAGGGAGTTGTGATTGGAACTGGGGAGCAGTCTCAGTTCGGAGAAGTATTCAAGATGATGCAGGCGGAAGAGGTGAGGGCAGCAGGCCATGAGTGGCCACTGTTTGCATCAGGGTTGTTCTAAGCCAGAGTCAGCCCTGTTCATCTACAGAAAGTCAGAGGCCACTTGAGATAGGAGCATGCTTTTCGTTTTTAATTTTAAAACTTAGCATGCGTGTTGGTGAGATTGCTCAAGGGTAAGGGCACTGGCTGCCAAGCCTGATGACTTGACTTTGATCCCACACATGGGAAAGAGAAAACAACTCCCAAAAGTTGTCCCCAGAACTCCATGTGTGCCACCCCCAAATAACAAATAAGTAAATGTACCATGTTTATCAAATATATATGCATGTGTGTCCCACATAGTCATCACTCAGAACAGTCAAAAAAAATGGGGCCCTAAAATACCATTGTCCTTCCTGCCCCCCCCCCACCTGCAGACACCTAAAACCCCACTGCAGAAGAGCATGGACAAGCTGGGCAAGCAGCTGACCATCTTTTCCTTTGGCATCATTGGTGAGTTGAGTCGTTTCCTGCTGGGTTCTGGTGAGTAGGACTGTGCTGGTGAAATTTCAGGAGCTCCATATTGGGCACCATACATGCCTGGGGAAACAAGGTCCCTTCTTTGGGTTCTTGGTCTCATTAATAAAGGAATTTTAAAATGAACTTGGAAGGGAGCTTGAAGACATTTTTATTAGAGTTTGAGAGAAAATAATAGGGCATTTTCCAGGGGGAAGGCTGGGCAGGGGAGACAGAAATCCATGCCTTTCTAGAGTTAGACCAGAATGTACTGCCATGGAGGTCAGCAGGCAGCCTTATGAAAAAAAGAGGCAAGGTCAGGAGTGGCTTCAGAGTAAGAGCTGGAAAGCCCAAAGCACCAGAGAAAATGTTTCAGCTTTGGCTAGTGCGCCCCCCTTCTTTCCCCCTCCCCCACTCTCCACCTCCCTACCCCCCATCCCCGTCCCCTGATGAGGGCAAAAGACATAGAAAAGCATAAAAAGGCAGAACTCAGGAATGAATTGCCTGGTGAGCCCTGTGAAGGATTGCAGCAGCAAGGCACCTAGGGAGGAAGAGTACAAGGAAAATACTTTGTATCCTTAAGGGGATAATTATCCCTCCCACCTCCTTAGAATGACTTAAGGTAAATCACCCTCCCTAGGAGTGGTCTCTAACTGGTGATTGACAGACCCAGCTGGACTACCTCTTAGCGGGGAAGACAATAGCCTACAATGTTCTCAATTTTGGAGTAGAGCCATTAGGACATGGCCTGCCCTCAGTAGCCTTTCCAGACTGGTAACTATACTTGGTGGAATGACTCAGATTAGGGAAGGCACCTGTTGAGAGTTTTAGGTTCCTGTGTCCTGGAATGAAGCTTGTGGGTGGGGAGAGAAATAGCATATCTTATTCAGGCAGAGAAAGGCAATGGAGAAAGGAGGGGGTAAGAGAGCGAAGAAGGGGCCCATACTGAAGCCCTGCATCTTTCCATGGGTCACCACCTCCCATAAGTTTCTTACACAGAGCCCCTCTCTGGGAGATCTCATACATCTCTGTGCTGCTACCTGCTGCCCTGGCAGGGAGGGATTTCCAGTCTTTCTAACTGGCCTAAGAGCTCTGGGGATCTGCCTTTCTCTGCCCCACAGTGCTGGACTTAAAAGCACAGACAGCCATGCCCAACTTTTTATGTGGAATGGGTTCATTAGGGGTTTGAAATCAGATCCTCATGCTTATAGACCCTTGTCAAGGAGATGACAAGGTTTGTCCACAGGATGAAATTTCTTTAATAATAATAGTAATAGTAAAGGTGATGGAGGCCAAGTATTGTAGCACACCTTTAATGCCAGCACTCAGAGAGGTAGAAGCAGGCAGATCTCTGTGGGTTTGAGGCCAGTCTGGTCTACATAGTGAGTTCCAAGCCAGTCTGGGCTACACAGTGAGGACCTGTCTCAGTACATAGATAATGTTGGCTTGAGAGTTAGCCAGTTTGTGAAGTACTTGCCTTGTAAGCATGAGGACCTGAGTTCAAATCCCCAAACTCTCATTTTAGAAGCCAGGTGTGGGCCATTGACCTGGGTCTGTGAGTAAAGATTCCTGCCAGCAAGCCCAATGATGATCCAAGTTCAATTCATGGAACCCACAAGGTCAAAAGAGAATTGACTCCTGCAGGTTGTCCTCTGACCTCCACATGTACGTCATGGCTTGTGCACCCAAACATACAACACATGCAGGCACATACAGCACACACAAAGATATTTGTAATTTAAAAACTTTTAAAATATTATTCAAAATAAATTCTGGGTGTGTGTTTGCAATCCCAGCATTGAGGAGGCGGAGACAGATGGATTCTTATGGCTCTCCAGCTAGCAAGCCAAGCCAAGGCAGCAAGCCCTAAGTCCCCATAAGAGACTACATCTCAAAAACTAAGATAGACACCCCCAAAGAACTAGGCTGAGGCTGTCCTCTGGCCCCCACATAAACACCTGTGCACACACATGGACACACTCAAACAATCATATGCACACAGGTGTCCCATGTGGAAGGCTAACAGGTGACTGCCTTTCGGATTCTTAGTCCCCGAGTTAAAGTAGAATTTAATCCCATGGCATGCCCATGGCAAGCAACATACACACACACACTGGGGGATTCTCAGAAGAACCCTCACTTCCAATAGACTAGGGATGCCAGCTGAGATCCCAGGACTCCTGGAGGCCCACAGGAGCTGTGGGAAAGCTGGCAGAGGCCCTCTAGGAGGTGATGGTGTCTGCCAATTCCCTTGGTTAGATCCTTTTGGCACAGCCAACTTCAAGTTATCCATGGCAGGTCACTGAAGGTGGCCATGGGACAGATGCACATGGCTGACCCTTACAAGGCCTTGCCAGCCAGCACCAGCATTTTCTGGCTGCAAGGGAAGCTTCCAGAGGGGACTCTGGACTCTCTGACCAGCCCCCATTTCATCTTCATTCATTTGGGTCCCCACAAAGATTTCAGTATGGGGCTGAGTTCTACAGCTAGTCAAATCCTGTGAACTCTACACACATACATACACATGCATGCACATGCACATGCCAACATAGGCCATTCCCAGTTTCCTGTGCCCTGCAGAGCAAAGCTGGCATCCTTTAGCAACTCTTCTAAGTGCAGTCAACAAGCCACCTGCCCCTTTCCTTCTCACTGTTATTTATATCAATGGCAAGGACAGGGAGGTGTGGTCATGCTCCCATTTTACAGGTACAGAAATTGAGGCTACCTGTGGCTATCCCCCAGTACTTTTCTGCATTGTTGAAACATCTTGTGAACTTGTTCATGAGTCCCAGCAGTGGCTCAGACCACTTCTGTCCCTACACCTCCAGGTCCCAGCACGATCCCCAGTATTTAGTGAACATTTGATGACTGACTGGTGAAGGAGGAAAAGGAAATTTTATCTGGACATAAGACATATTTGAGAAACAGTGGCCCAGGAGTTGGGGTGCAGCTCTGTGGTAGAGAGCTTGCTAGTGTGCTGAGGTTCTGGGTGTCTTCCCAGCACTGGAAAATACACACACACACACACACACACACACACACACACACACACACGAGAAAGCAACAGAGTCTTACCCACCCCTGCAAGAGCAACAGGGAATATAAATGGGGTTGACACAGTGTGGAGTGGTGGTCAGTGCCTTCACCCTAAGCTTGGCAGGAATCTTTCCTAAAAGAATAAAACAGCCCCCCATGGACTGTGTTTTCTTCAAACAAAAAAGGTAAGTGGTTATGGATTCTTTTTGTTTCTTTGTTTTTGTTCATTTGAAACAAGGTCCATGCTGACCTCAAACTCTTGCCATCCTCCTGTCTCCTGAGTAGAAGCCACTATGCCTACATATCCAGTCAACTCCCTCTGAACTGACACCCCCCCATTCTGGAGTCTGGACCTAGGGCTTTATGCGTGCTGGACCATCCTTTGTCTCCAGCCCAGAAGCTTCAAGCTTGTTTCCAGCATTTGAGGTCCCAGAAGGCCCCTCAAGACGTGGGCTAAAAGCATGGTGAGTCAGTGGAGACACAGGGGCCCAGGCTGACACTGTCATGTCTCTTATAGGTTTCCTGATGCTGGTTGGTTGGATTCAAGGCAAGCCCCTTCTCAGCATGTTCACCATCGGGGTCAGGTGCGTTGTCAAGACCCCTAGGCCACTTCCCAAGCAGAGCAGATAGTAATCTACAGGGCATTCAGAGAGCGGGGAGACACTTTGACCCCACCAAAGTGGGTCTCCAGTGGCATGGGAGGGATGCACTGTATAGAGCCTGGCTCAAGGCTTCAGAGGGTTCTATCTGTGGCCACCTGGCTCCTATGATGGGCAGGACAAGATGGCAGGTGTAGCAGGCCAGAGCTCTTCCTGGCAGCAGAAGGTGGGGAGACATGTAGTACTCCTGGTTCCCTCCTCTTCCCTTCATTGCATCTGGGCCCTTTGGGATGGTGCCACCCACACACAGGGTGGAACTTTCTGTTAGTCAATCCTCTCGCACATGCCCAGAGGCATGATTTACCAGTCTCCTGGCTATTTCTCCATCCAATCAAGCTGATAGTCCAGACTGACTCTAATAGGGGCCAGGGTGTAGGTCGTTGGTACACAAGGCCTTGGAACCCATCTCTGCATGGCAAAAGGGCAACACAGCACTTCACCTTGACTCGACTACATCTGCAAGGACCCAGTTCTCGATAAAGTCAGCCATACATCCAGGGTTAGGACCTGATGAATCCATCGATCAATTTCTGTCTAAGATGGGATCTCATGCAGCCCAGGCTGGCTTTGAACTTCTTAGATAACCAAGGATGGCCTTGGAGTTCTGATCCCTGTGTGTAGCTGTTTTAAGCCTTGTTAGAAATTGAAGCCAGGGTTTTGGGTGCTCAGGAGTGGGAGTTACACGTGATCCTAGCTGGACCTTGCTCAGTTCCTCAAGGTCACACATGCTCCATCTTACAATGGGAAAAACATTCAGGCACCACAGTTGCTCTTGGCTACAGAATCCAGGAGCGGAGGATAGATTCTGAACCACCCATCACGGTGCCTCTAGGCAGAATGGGACCCTTTACTTGCTAAGGTTCGGTTCCCACCCTTGGCAGCTAGCAGCCATCGGCCCACAAACATTGACTGAGCTTTGATGGGCTATCTGTTACAACATCAAAGCACTGACTGAGCCACAGGCCTGGGCCCTCATGGGGCTTTCAGTGGATGAAGAAAGTGATTGTGAAGAATTTAAGTGTGGGTTAACAAGGCAATTACAGTTTAGCATCCATATTATGCTGATAGCCCATAGGAAATGTTGACAGTGAGAGTGACTGAGAGGGAGAAGGAAGGAGTGTGGGACTGGGAAGGTAATCAGGGATGATTTCTATGTGGTATTGAATGTAGGGAGTTAAGAAGGGCCAGTTAGGAGAATAGCAGGGGCTGGAGAAGTGGCCCAGCAGTTAAGAGCACTGGCTGCTCTTCCAGAGGATCTAGGTTCAATTTCCAGCACCCTCATGGCAACTCACAATTGCCTACAACTCCAATTCCAGGGAAGCTGACATCTTCACACCAATGCACATAAAATAAAGTTAAGTAATTTTTAAAACTAGATAATAGTAGAAAGGGAGCACCAGGCAGGAAGGGAGCACCAAGCAAGTATCAAAGCCCTGGGGTTTGGATGGTGCATGGCAGATCAGTGCCACCAGGAGGATACCACTGACACCTGATACTATCTCTAACAAGCTCCCAGAAGTGCTGAGGTGCCTGCCCTAGGGCATACTCCATGGCTGGGATTAGAACCTTCCCCAGTCATGCCCCAGCATAAGCAAAAACAGAGGTGCAGGTCTTAACACCCCAACAGAGCCCTGTCTTGAAACCATGGAGAAAGATAGAGGAGGAGGGAACTCTGAGCCTTGAGGGGCTGCTAAGACAGAGCCCTCGGGAGTCAAGCTGGTGAAATACTACTCTCCACAGAAGGGTGCAGCCTAACCGTGCAGAGCGCAGGGGCAGGGGACTTGCCTGGTATGCAAAAGGCTCTGGATCTCATCCAAACCACTAAACACAAAAAATTACTACTGTGTATTTTCTCCCATCTTATAAGCCATCAAAAGTTGCATAAGCCTAAAAAAAACATCATGTTTGAAGGATAAAGAACAAAACCCCAGTGTCCACAATGATCCAACCCACATGGCTCATGGTAACCTGGACAAGAATCCATTCCTCTCCTTGGGACATTGAATAGGCAAAACCTTCAAGCTTTGTGACTAATTTGTCACCCCAGCCACTGTAACAGAAAGATAGAAAGGGCAGACGAGCCAACGAGGAAACTTTCCAAAATAAATAAAAGTACAGATTCATTCTTCTAAAAACCTCACCTCTGGCCCTGGTGGCTGGAGAGTTAGTGAAGAATATCCAAGGAACTCACTATTCCTGATCTTTCCCAAACTTTATTAGTTTGTGGATTAATTTTTTTATTGCTATGAACATACCCAGGTGTGCATACTGCACCCATCCCTTGACATATGGGGGTGTCCCCCTCATAATCTAATGTAAATGTTTGCTTAGCTGGTCTGGCCAGCCCAGGCCATAAAACCAAGGAAGTTGGTTTCACTCTCCCATGGAAACGCCCCCCACCCCACCCTGAGCTCCTTGACCAAATTCAGTAATCTTGGTTTATATAACTTGTTTCTGAATGGCCCATTGTCTCCAGGTGAAAGGTCACTATTCATATTTTCTCTCTCTCTCCTTTTTTGTTTGTTTTGTTTGGTTTTTAGACCAGGCTGGCCTCACACTTGTGATCCCCCTGACGCTACCTCCTGGATGCTAGGATTGCAGGTGTGAGCCACCATGCTTGTCCAGGAGGCAGCTTATACCAGTGTGATCAAAAACCCTATACTACAACACACATAACACTGATTTTTTTTAACATTCATTTATTTGGGGGTGGGGGTGCACAGCACACATTTGGAGGCCAGGGGACAAACTGCAAGAGCCAATGTTCTCCTTCTGCCACACAGGCCCCCAGGGAAGAAACTCAGACCTTAGTGGCAGATATAATTATCACTTAAACCATTTCACCAACCTCTCTTTCCTTTCTCAGTGAGACACCAAATAGTGATAGCCTTCACCATTTAATGCAATGAGGTTCCATGAGTGATGATGGTCGCGTGAGCCCCCAACAATTTTTCTGACTTTTCACTCACCTGAGCTGAGTGTTTGCTCTGCACAAGCAAGAATCAGGTATCCATGAGTATTCATGAGTTCACATCTGTCCCTTTAGCAGGTGTCAACTGAACTTAGCCTGAGGAGTACAGAAGGGGAAAAGCTGTCCCTGCATCAATGTAGCCAGAGATAGCTTTTAGTATGAACTCTGTTCTATTTAAATTTTTTGTTACCAATTCTTTAAAATTAGGTCCTTATAAGGCTGGACATGTGGCTCATAATTCAGTGCTGGCCTAGCATGCATGCAGCCCTGGGTTCCACTGCAGCGCCACAGAAACCAGGTGTGCACATATCTCATCCCAACACTTGTGAGGTGCAGGAAGTAAGGTCAAGGTTATCTTTGGCTAGGTGAGTTCAAGGTCAGCCTGAGCTACGTGAGTCCCTGTCTTGTAAAAAATAAATATAGTCACTGTATTAAAATGGTACCTGGCCTCCAGTTTCTTGAGAAGGATAGTTGTTCTAGCAATACTCTTGTCCCAGACCTCAGGGTGATGGCTTGTCTTAGGCAGGCCTGGCCTGGAGGTCACATGTTCAGCATGGCTTGGACTGTCCCCTCTCTTATCTCTTGTGTGGCTTCGCAGGCAACAGAGCTTGCCCTGTCACTTTCACATCCCAAGTAGTCCCTTTCTAGAAATTACTGTGGGAGGTTCCCTCTAATGAAAATACTTGAGATTTTACTGTGGTTACAAGTCTCACAGCTCTACCTTCACTCTAGGGCCAAATGAGGGGGGCTGTGTGGTGGGTGTGGCCAGCTTCTCCTAAGATCTCAGCTGGGGGTTCAAAGCACTAGAGGGGGTGGACATCAGATCTACTCTATCATGAAGGTGGGGGTTCGCTCTGCTTTGGTTTCTTCGGTCTCCACAGGAAAAATAGCTAAACCATTGAACAGTAACAAATGAAATTCAAGGGTCCCAGAGAAGAGTCTACACACCAAAACCCCTGCCACTTTCCTTCCTTCCTTTTTTTTTTTTTTTCTTTTTTCTTTTTTAATTCTGTCATACATTACATCCCATCCACAGTTTCCTGACTCTGGACTTGCCTCTAGTTCCCTGACTCTGGAATTGCCAAATGCTTCCCAAGAAGCTCTGTCTCTAATAAGTGAGAATGGCTGAATATAAAAGGGCATAACAGGCACCCAGTTCACACTAAGATGTGACTGCCTCAGTGGAGAGGTCCTGTCCGAAATTGGGGACGTAGTTGACCAGGCAAATGGTCCAGGCAGAAATATCAAAGGAGGCAAGTGCATTGTGGGATTAGAAATTGGATAGAAGGCCCACTGGAGCAAAGACAAGCTTTGCTAGAAGAAAGCATCACCGCCAGTGTCAGCTGAGCTGCTCATCATTGAGCCTGACTTGACTCTTCTACTCAGCCTGGCTGTAGCAGCCATTCCAGAGGGGCTGCCCATCGTTGTCATGGTGACTCTGGTCCTGGGAGTGCTGCGGATGGCTAAGAAGAGGGTCATTGTGAAGAAGCTGCCCATTGTGGAGACTCTTGGTGAGGGTTCCCCCTCTACAATGCAAACTGAGTCAGGTGGAGGTGTGGGGCTGGGATTGCTCACACCCAGACTGTTCCACGAACCCCAGGCTTGGTGGTGACTACTCATTTCTCTAAACCTATTCCCATGGTGCCAGGCTGCTGTAATGTCGTCTGCTCTGACAAGACAGGCACTCTGACAGCCAATGAAATGACAGCGACCCAGCTCGTCACATCTGATGGGGTCCACGCTGAGGTGAGCCTCGTGCTATCTCACAAGGCAGGAGAAAAAGAGGTACCCTGCCAGCCCTCTCCTGCCCAGAGAGATCACACAGACTCTCCTAGAACAGCGAGGAAGAAATGAATACCTTGGTGGTCTGTCTAAGAAAGTGCCAGTTGAAGATGGCCTCATTGATTTTTTTTAATCCAATTTTATTTTTTATATTTTTTTCAGGATGGAAGTAAGGGTCTCCTCCACAATAGACAGGCACTGTACTACTGAAACACATCCCCAACCCCTTGTTAACAAATCACCCCACTTGTGTGGCTCTGGGGATTGCCTGGAATGCTGGGTAAACATTCTACCACTGAGATGTCTCCCAGCTTGTGCTTCACTTTCATCCGGAGACACCGTATCCAGGCTGACTTTGAACTTGAGATCCACCTACCTTGGTCTCTGTAGTAGCTGTGATTACAGGGCCACTAGGTCCTGTTGCTTTGGGGTCTTTTTGAAACAGGCTCTCACTCTGTAGCCTGGGCTGGACTGGAACTCATTATGTAGCCCAGGCTGCCCTGGAAATTGTGGTAAATCTTCTTGTCTCAGCTTCCCACATGCTGGGGTTTCCAGCCATGAGTCACCACACCCAGCTCGTTACAAAATTTAAAAGCTACAGAAATACTTGTCACCACCCACGACAAACTGACCCTGAGTCACTGTTTGTGCTTCTCTGTCACATAGCACAGTTGCATGCTCACTCAACAATTTTGTGTCTGGATATTTTTCCACAGAGCTTTCTAGAGTAAAGGGTAAGCACATGGGGGCCCTCCTCTTGTCAATGATGTTTTTTAATTTTTAAAGATTTATTAATGTGTGGTGTATCTTTATGCCTGTGTGCTGGTGTAGGCGCATAGTTACAGAGCCCTTGGAGGCCAGAAGAGGGCATTGGAGCCCCTGAAGCTGGCATTATAAGCAGTTTAGAGCCATCTAGTGGTGGTGCTGGGAACTGAACTTGGGTCTCTTAAAGACCGGTATGCACTCTTAACCACGGAGCCACCTCTCTGGCCCCTCAATACCATGTTCTTGGCACACTGTCATGCCCATCTGTAAATATTCCATGGCTGGTTGCTTTTTTATCCCCAGGCTGCACTATCTTGACTGACAGGTTTATGAGCTGCAGAGGATTGGATATTTCCTCTTGGCTTAGATGCAGCTTCTCCCAAATGTCTCCGGCCACACCTTAGTTATACCGCCCTTGTGCAGCCACGAGCTCCACCAGAAGCTCTATGCAGTTTATCATGGTGCATGTACCCTCTACTACCGGGGGGGGGGGTCCTAGGCAGCAGACAGTCTGCAGGATCATCCTCACGTGTAGGCTCGTGGCTTTGGGGTGGACCCTAGGAGAGGGAACGGGTATCGTCCAGGGTTTGAGGGTTGGCTCTTGATAACACCCTCCATCTTCTGTGTCCTTCCAGGTCAGTGGAGTTGGGTATAGTGACGAAGGGACTGTGTGTCTCCTCCCATCCAAGGAAGTAATCAAGGGATTCAGCAATGTTTCGGTGGGGAAGCTGGTGGAGGTGAGTGTTGGATACCATAGTGGAACAGTGTGCAGCCTGCCTGGCATGAAGGAGGTGACTGACTAACCACAAGGGTTAGGCTGTCACAGCAGCAGATATCATGCCCAACTGGAGGGAAGGAGGAGGGGAAGGGAAAGGCGGGGCCCGACCGGGCCTGTGGGTGCATTACCGAGTCAGGTGTGGTTCTCCTCCACATAAGCCATCTGCCCTCCCTGCATGGCAAGCTGCCTCCAGGAAGTCGGGACCTCCTCTAGAACAGTCCCTCCTCCAGGTGGGCCCTGCTCTGCTGCCTCCCCTCCCCGCGGCCCCCTCAGAAACAAACTCAGAGAAGCCACTGGAGGGCTGAGCTCCGCTCCAGGCTGGCAGGGAAGCGGCAGTCGCCCACACTCTACCAGGTTTCTTGATTCTTCTCTAGGCTAGCTGTGTATGCAGAGCACTTCCATATAAAGCCTGTGGCTTGATGGATGCCTGCCTTCCTCCTGTGCGCCACGGCCACTCTCCAGCCCCAGAGCAGTGTCACCCCAAGTGGAGACACACAGGCTGTTAACTAAAGACATGGCTTGGGTTCAGTTCAGTGGTAGAAGGCTTGCCTAGCATGAGAGAGGCCTGGTTCAACACCTAAAGACGGGGAAGGGGATGACACATGTGTTTCTAAGACACTGACTTACTTATTTGAAGGAAACACTTGTCGACTGGCCCCGCTTGAAGGCCATGCCTGCAGTGTCCAACCTTTTCATGGTGTGGGTGAGCCCAGGGTCCAGTACTGACTGCAGATATTCCAACCCCCTTCAGGCAGGTTGCATCGCCAACAACGCTGTCATTAGGAAGAAGACTGTGATGGGACAGCCCACAGAAGGGGCCTTGATGGTACTGGCCATGAAGGTAAGGGGTCAGAAGAAGTTGTCTCTGTGACTCTCTGCCTGTTCCCTTCAGACAGGTCTCTTGCTGAACCTAAGCCAGGCTGGCAGCCAGCAGACTCCCAGCCATCTTCCTGTTACCCACCCTGTGGTCCAACAGCACCGAGGGTGCAGACACACATAACCACTTGATGGCCTAGAAGTTTTGGCTCCAAAAGGAAGAGTGTCCCTGCTAAGGAGACACAGCAAACATTTGGGTTTCTGATGCCCTGAAGCCAGCAGGCTAAGAAAGGAACAATGGTAGTGGGATCCTGACTACCAAGGGGAAATGGGATTGCTTCCCCACAATGGTGGTGAGAAAGATGATGTATGGAGAAAGATGATGCAGGGGATCCTTCAGGGCATCTCTTGGTGCCACCATGTCCTGTGATTAAAGTCAATGGGAAAGTTCAACCCAATCCCGGCAGGATGACAGAGGGCACAGACCCATCAGGAATGAAGGTGTGAGTCACTTACTTCTCCAGGGAAAGACCTGCTGAGGTGCTTGCTAAGGTTAGAGGAAATACAGAATGGGTAGTAGAGGAAAGTATTTATAAATACCATTGGGTTTTCCCAGAGTTAGCATGGCGACCCCAAACATCCGCATCCTTGTGGAGTGCAGTCTGACCTGGTGTCTTCCCTGAAGAGAACCATATACTCTAGCATGTCCCCTGCTACACCTGAGGAAGGGTTGAGGGGGTGAGGGTCTAGAGTCCGCCCTGCCCCTCCTTCTGAGGGAATGTAAACAGGCCTCATTTTGAAGGTATCTTTGGATGAATCGTAGCTTCTAGGATGAAGATAGTGATGGCTGCCCTTCTCAGAGGACAGCATTCCACAGTACAGCCACTATTCATCACTGAGGGGGGGGGGCTCCTGACATATCTGTGCTTTGAGAGGGATGGGGAGAACTCTTTCCAGGTATGGTGGCTCACACCTTTAATCCCAGCACTGGGGAAGCAGAGCTAGGCAGATTTCTGTGAGTACAAAGCTAGCCTGATCTACATAGTAAATCCCAGGCCAGCCAGGGCTATCAAATTAGACCCTGTCTCAATGAGGAAGCAGGGTCCTCACAACCCCTCCTTCCCCAAGCCATTCCCACTTATACAGCTTCCTGGAATTCCTTTCTCCCCCAAACACTGTCTCTAATGCATGAGATACCTGGCTAACACTGGTTTGCTTTTGGAAAACTGCATTTGACCTTTGGGGCAATAGGTCCCAAAGTCATCAGAGACCATGACCACACAGGTGATGGTCCTGCAAGACTCAGACTTCACCTTCCCAAGTGTCCTTGTTCCCCCAGAAGTTTTCAAAGGTGTAATGAGGCAAAGACTTGGTTCTGGGACAAGAGATGGTTGAAAATAGGCAGCCTTCCTGTAGCTACTACTTGGATTTGCAGTTTGGATGCTGATTTACACAGACACTTAGCATATAGCAGTGGTTCTCAACCTTTGGGCCATGACCCTTTTGGAGAGAGGGAGCAAATGACATTTTCATTGGAGTTACCTAAAATCATTGGAAAATACATTATTTCCAATTTCTGATTTATAACTAGCAAAATTACAGCTATGAAGTAACAACAAAAATAACTTAATGGTTGTGGGTCAGCTCAACATGTGGAACTGTATTAAAGGGCTGCGGCGTTAGGAAGGTTGAGGACCACTGGGCTACACCCTGGCTTGGGATGACTCCCTGAAAACATGCCACCTTACACCCTAGATGAACTTAGGTGGTGCCAAAGATTCTTTCACTCGGAGAAAAGAGATTCCCTTCAGTTCAGAGCAGAAGTGGATGGCGGTGAGGTGCAGCCCAAAGAATGAGGTAAGTTTAGCCTTTGCTGAGACAGAGTGTCACTGTGGGGCCCAGGCTGGCCTGGGAGCCTCCTGCCTCAGCATGGCTGTGCTGTCCCCCTCCCTTACCTGGGGGAAGAGGGTAGCATGCCCAGCACCTTCCAAGAGCTTCCAAACAGTGAAGTAACAGCCAGGAACCTGGCACTGTGGCCCGCGATGCTCACAGTGGGGACCCTGAGCCAGCCACACCTGTGTCCCTGGGGATCAGCAATGTGGAGTCTCAGGTTCCTATGAACCTCCATTGGGAAGTCCAGGTGTGCCCCAGGGACCTGTCTGTTGGGGATTCTGGTATAGGCTCAAGTGTGAGGCAGTTGTCTGTGCACGAGGGATCACCTAGTGACAGCAGATTTTTTTTTTTTCACTTTTCTTGTCCAAGGATGGGGAAGACATTTACTTCATGAAGGGGGCCTTTGAGGAAGTGATCCATCACTGTAGTATGTATAACAATGGGGGCATTCCCCTGCCTCTGACGCCCCAACAGAAGTCCTACTGGCTGCAGGAAGAGAAGAGGATGGGATCGCTTGGCCTGCGGGGTTGGTGTCCTGGCTCCTTCCCCTGCCCACTGGGGCCTTGAGTTTGCCTGTGGTGTTGCTGGGATGCACCAGATCGGGGTCCTGGGTGGATCTGCCACCAGCCAGAAGGCAGGCAGGGGTGAGCTAACAGCAACTCCCAATGTGAAACCTCACCCCTTGCCACCCATGAGACTCGCCAATTCAGGTGTGGCTTGTGTATGGATGGCATGTTACTTGCCAAGTTCCCTAAGGCATATGAAGTTTATGCCACACACACTAATTTCAGGCACTTTTTCACTCTCTGCCTTATGAAAACCTAGAACTCTCAGATGAAGGGGACGTATGCAGTTTTCAAAGCTGCAGGGTCAGTGTCCTCTCCATCAGGCTGATGTTAAAACCCTTGTGCCATTGGCTGCCCTGTCCCTTGTTGGAGAAAACATCTCGTAACACTATTTGTATTCCATGGGGGCAGGGCTAGGAGAGGCACTGGGCTCGTGCTATCCATTACCTTGACAGATGAGTGTGCATTGAGCTCATGGTAGGTGAAGCTGTCGCAGATGCCTGTCTGCCATCTTCCAGGGGCTTCAGCTGGACACTCGAGCTATTTCTCACACCTCTCCCTCCCTATCCGGTGTACCTGTGCTGTCCTGAGGGTCACAATAAGGTGTTCTAGGACTAAAGATGGTCACCAACCTGCCCTTGTGTCTCTCACAGTGCTGGCCCTGGCGTCTGGGCCCGAGCTGGGGAGACTGACATTCCTGGGTCTTGTGGGCATCATCGACCCCCCGAGGGCTGGTGTGAAAGAAGCAGTTCAGGTGCTCTCTGAGTCTGGTGTGTCAGTGAAGATGGTGACCGGAGATGCTCTAGAGACAGCCTTGGCCATAGGTAACCAGGGTGAGGGGCCAGGAGTGAAGGGGCCTTGCACCCAGTTGAAAGGACTCTGAGCTGTGTAGACCAGTGCTCCCTACTCCAGCTTGTGTCCCAAATGGGGAAAGGTCCACATGTAAACTGAGGACCTACTATGTGTTTAGGGGCTTTTCAACTGTGTCATAGAGCCACTCTGCTGCTCGTCTCTTCAACAGCAGTGGGCTGACAGGCAGCCTCTCCTCCTCTAATCATTCCTGTTAAGAGCTGTCATGTTGGCTTTGCCCAACTCAGCCCAGTGCTGTGAGGTCACAGGCCAGCATATCAGAGCCCTCGTGTGAGATGCCAGTGACATGTCCCAGCAGGCTAGCCTCAGGGAAGCCAATTCTCCGGTAGTTTCCTCATCACCGGCAAATTTAGGTTCACCATGGTTAGCAGACACTGAAATGGGCTAAGGTCAAATGTGTCACATGCTGGGTGGGACTGGACCACAGCTCAGGCCCTGAAGGTGCTCCTCAGTCCTAACTCCTCTCCCAAAGGAAGAACCATCGGCCTGGGCAATGAGAAGCTGAAAGCCATGTCTGGGGAGGAGGTGGAAGGCATGGAGCAGGACGCACTGGCTGCCCGAGTGAGGCAGGTGGGTTCTCCCAGTGGCAGACAGGGCTGGGATGGAGAGGCCCTCCAGCTCCTATGTCTGCTGATGACACTTTGACCTCCCGTGCCAGGTATCTATATTCTTCAGGACCAGCCCGAAGCACAAGGTTAAAATCATAAAGGTAACTGGGTGGAATGACAGGGGCCATTCATGGTGGGGCCATCCAGGGTGGCAGGCTCTCAGTTGGCCAAGTGACAGGGATGGTCCAGGGGGACAGGTGGCTAAGCTGGCCTTGGCCACATAGCTTCATTTTCTAGGTTCTAGACAGCTGCGTGCATCCCATGTATCCATCCATCCCTGCTTGCTAGCCAGAATGCTATCACATGGTTAGCTGCAAAGGATGCTGGGAAATGCCATCTCTAGTGGGATGGGCACTTCACAGTTAAAACAGGAGTGGGTCCTCTTATGCGGTTGTGGGGAGGTTGGGGACCACTGGCCACGGACATTGGGAACAGCCCTGGGAGTTAGATGATGTAAAGAGAAAATACTCAGGGGCCGGCCGTGGTTTCTCTTTGTCAACCGGCAGCCTGTACCCAGCAGCTTGCTGAGGTGTTTGGTAGCCATGTTTTGTTCTTGGGGACAGTTTGATGGGGTCCTGGGGTTTTAGTTTTCAATGATGAAGACTAAATGCCAACCACATATGGTGGCTCACAACTGTCATCCCAGTACTCATGAGGCTGAGGCCAGAGGATGATGAACTCCAGGACAGCCCTAGCTACACAGAAAGACTGTTTAAAAGAGAGAGAACAAATTTTGTATATATGAATATTGGTGCATACAAGCCTCAGTGCACCTGTGGGAATCAGTTCTCTATTAACCACGTGACTATATGACTAAGGTCATCAAGATTGGTGGCAAGCTCCTTTACCTGTTGAGACATCTTGACAGCCCAGAGGCATGGCTTCATTTGCTGCTTACTAACAGCAACTTTTACAAGCTACATCTATTGTCCTATCCAGAGTGTCACAACAGCCTGTGATGCCAGGATGGTGACTGCCATTTGCTTTGCAGATGGAGAAACGAAAGTTGAGTAGTTCAGGGCCATGCCCACTTCCTGAGCCACTGCAGTAAAGCTACTGTGACTAGGACAGCTGACCGAAGCATCTATCGGGTGGGTGGCAACTGCCCCCATGGTACACCAGGCAGGGCATCAAGAAAGGTCTAAGAGGGTCCTCAGGCTGTGGTTCCCCATAACCTGCTCTTCCCAAAGGCATTGCAGGCATCAGGGGCCATTGTGGCCATGACTGGGGATGGTGTGAATGACTCAGTTGCCCTGAAGTCTGCGGACATTGGGATAGCCATGGGCCAGACAGGGACGGATGTCAGCAAAGAGGCTGCCAACATGATTCTGGTGGACGACGACTTCTCAGCCATTATGTGAGTAACTATAACCAGCATCCCCAGGATGTACTATGGTAGATATGAAGGGGCTTTCTTGGGTTCAGGGAACTCCCTGAGAGAACTGCATCCCAAGCTCATCACTGTGGTGATGAGCCCACTCCAAATGTACAGGGCTTCTCCAAACAGGGTCCTGGGGCCATGCTGCCATTAGTCACTGTGGGATATAAAGAAAGCCTAGATCCACTTGATTAGCCAGTAACAAGAGACAGGTGTTAAAAATCATACTGCGGGCTGGAGGGATAGCTCGGTCAGCATGGTGCTTGTCTGCAAGCATGGGGAACCGAGTTTGACACTTGTCACATGAAAATGCAGGCAGGGTGGTACAGGCTGCTGATCCTGCTGCTGAGGAGGAGACAGGCAGACCCAGGGCTTGCCAGATAGACAGCCTCACCTGATCAGTGAGCAAGCTCGTGTCAAAGGAGAACAACAGCCTTTGTGGGGATGACACCCAGGTTACCCTCTGGCCCCCACATGAGCACACCTGAACAAATAAGTCACAGTTGGAGGCCCAACAAGGAGGCATGTATGTGCCTGTGATTCCTGAATTCAGGAGGCTGAGGCAGGAGAACTAAATCACACAGGCACATAACACACGACAGACAAGACAGATGGACAGTGATGTCTTGTTCTGCCTCCAGTGTGTAGAGCATGGGTTTCTCTCACTCTGGTGTGTCATACTGCCTATGGATTGTATACTTGGCTTCCTGAGGACAGTGGGGCCTTGGGCTTTGCACAGGGCTGACATCACCTCCTACCAGTGTGTCCCAGGTGTGCCAGCAAGGGTTACCTGCACTGTTGCAGGTGGGCTGACCACACCGTGTGGCAAAGCCCTTGACCCCCACCCCCAGGACCTTTCTGCCCACAAACACTCTCGCCCCCTTTCAGGAGTGCGGTGGAGGAAGGAAAAGGCATCTTCTACAACATCAAGAACTTTGTCCGCTTCCAGTTGAGCACGTAAGTAGAGGCGGACGTTCCTCTGTAGTCGGTGGGCGCTGCATCCTATGCACGCATTAATGGGCTTCCTGTTGCTTGTGCCCCACAGGAGCATCGCTGCCCTGAGCCTCATCACTTTATCCACCGTGTGCAACCTGCCCAGCCCCCTCAATGCCATGCAGATCCTGTGGGTGAACATCATCATGGATGGGCCGCCAGCACAGAGGTGAGGCAGCAGGCTGAAGGTAGGACCACATGAGCTCAGAAAAGAATCTCCAGGCTGCTGAAGTATGAGCAGCTTCCTAGAAGGCAGACTGGAATGCAGAGATGGAGCTTTGTGCTCCCTCAGTCCCAGTGCACTCATAGAGCCCATGGCTCAGGTCACCATCTCCAAGAAGTCCTCCCTAATCAACCTAACAGTGGTGGCTTCATCCCTGGGCCTCTGCCCATGCATTTTCCCTGAAGGGGAAAGTATTGTTTTGGTTGAATGGATCCATTTCCACTAGAGCTGGTTGCTATGGACTTGAGGCCTCTTGACCCTTAGGAAAGTGCTTGCATGACATAGATGTGCATGACCTCATTGGTGGCACAGGAGACCTGTGTGCCCAGTAGCCTTGGTTGCTCCCACAGGGAGGTATCATTACAAATGCAGCCAACGTTACTGTTAGCATCATCTGCTGAGTTACACAGAGAGGGAAGCCCAGAGCTCAGCAAGGGCTGCAGCTGCCACAAGGCTCCCTGTATGTGAGAGACAGCAGGTGAGGTAGCTCCCAGGTCTCTATCCCATGTGCAACTGAGCTCTCCTGATGTTCCTGAGTGACAAAACTGAGTGTCTGTCTGACACATGGACCTTGGAAGGTGGAGCTGGGTCCTGTTCCTCCAGGCCCCACTCAGGACCCCTCATGACAGTGGGAACTGCATGGAGAAGGCTGAAGCCCATTGCTAGCCTTTGCTAGGTAATCTGACCTCTCTGCATCTAGATACTTGGAGATAGATGAGTAGGATAGCCACTGGGGGACAAGAACGGCCCTGCTCACAGGTGACAATTCAGACTAGGCTGGCCTTGAATTCATCCTTTGTCTCAGCCTCTGGAAAGCTGGGATTACAGGTGTATGCCACCTGGCCCAGCCTCCAAGTGACCTTTGCTATTTCAAAGAGTCACTTGCCTTGTTCTGCACAGCCTGGGGGTGGAGCCTGTGGACAGAGATGCCCTGCGGAGGCCTCCACGGAGCATCAGGGACACCATCCTGAACAGAGCCCTGATCCTGAAGGTCCTCATGTCAGCTGCCATCATCATAGGAGGAACCCTCTTTATCTTCTGGAGAGAGGTGAGCAAGGCAGGGGTTGGCTTGCTCAGGAACAGTTAGGAGCCCTGTGCAGGACTGGGTGCTCTCTCCAAGCGAGACACACACTCCCTCTCCCTCCTCTCCCCCCCCCCAGCTCCTCCACTCTCAATGCTATCAGAGGCCAGAGAGAGGGTGGTGGGTAGAGATGCCTGGGGGAGAAGTGTGTGGGTCAAACACTGGGGCCAGAGCATAGATGGTGGGTGTCTCTTCACGGGGTGGGGGAGACATTTTTATTGTCACAAGGAAACTATAGGAGCCCCTTACACTCTCTGAGACTATCTTAATGCAGGTCAATTTTCAAGGCCCATTGGGCCAGGGAGCCTACGCATGGTTGCATATGGTTATATGTAGCCAAGATGAGGAATGAGGCAGGGATCCCCATTGTGTCTAAACATGTCCTTCGGGGCAGGCAGATGGCAGCCTGGTTCTGAAAGCCTGCCTGGCAGCCAGGTGCAGAGGTGTAGACGGGACTGAGCTGTGTTCCAGCCTGATGAGGGTCCCACAGGTGGGGAGGGGAAGCTGGGGCAAAAACTGTCTGAAAGCGTGCACCCACAAATCCATCTCACTGGGGCTCCAGCCAGCCACGGCAGACACAGCTAAGGCCCCAACAGACATTTTTATCACACCACGTTGTGTTTGGGATCAGCTGTCCCATGGTCCTCGTAAGATATGGGTTCTGATCTGTAGGTGTGTGCAGTGGCAGGGCCTGTGAGGCATTACCCACTGGGCCAGTGGTTCTCAACCTTCCTGACCCTGCAACCCTGTAACTCAGTCTCTCATGCTGTGATCCCCCAACCATAATTATTTTCATTGCTATTTGATAACTGTAATTTTGCTACCTTTTTGAATCATAACTATCTGTGTTTCCTGATGGTCTTAGATGACCCCTGTTGAAAGGGTCATTTATTCCCAAAGGGGTCACAACCCACAGGTTGAGAACTGTTGCCCTAGGAGGAGATGCCTTTCCCTTCTCTGACACTCCTTCCTGATAGAGGACAAGGCTCCTCCCAGGGTGGGGAGTCCCCTGGGGCCAGCACAGACACATGACACAGAGCCAGTTTCTAGGGTACAGCTTTGGGACTGGGCTGACCAGCAATCTTCAGGCAGCACCCACAGGCCACCCCTGGCACACCGACTTTGCCCCTCAGCTCTAAGGCAGGGAGCCACCTTCCCTCTCTGCCATGAACATGCCTATGTGCTGGATTCCAGATCCCAGAGAATGGGACCAGCACCCCACGCACCACCACCATGGCCTTCACCTGCTTCGTGTTCTTCGATCTCTTCAACGCCCTAAGCTGCCGCTCTCAGGTGAGCAGCACTGACCCTGCACCAGGCTCCACCCCTGCAGATCCACCCATAACAGCCCCCCCCCCAGGGATGGAGACACCATTCCACTGCCTCTCTACTCTTGGCGAAGTCTTGGGGAGGGGGCACAGGGATCAGACTTCATGTCCCCAGTGGCTCCAACAAGCCTCAGCACTTGCCATTCTGTCCAGGTGCCAACTTGGGGGGGACACAGACTGACTGCAGTGTCCCGGGACATGGCTGCTGACCCCACACTGTGCCTACACAGGTCCACTCACGCCTCTCCTCCCCACAGACCAAGCTGATATTTGAGATTGGCTTCTTCCGGAACCGCATGTTCCTGTACTCGGTCCTTGGGTCCCTTCTCGGGCAGCTGGCCGTGATCTATGCCCCACCCCTGCAGAAGGTCTTCCAGACTGAAAACCTGAGAGCTCTTGGTGAGTGGTGGGGACAGGGACAGGCAGTCACCTGAGATTGCTGCCACCTGGGGTGGAGCTGCAGGGGCCACGGAGTGGGAGCTTTCAGAGCCGGTCCACAGTTTGGTTTGCAGCATCTGCTTTATGTCACATGGGGTAGGAAGGTGACGTGCAGGCACAGGGGACACAAATAAAGCCCAGAAAGAGGCCCCTGTGCTGAAAGCAGGGGGCAGCAGCATTCTGGACCTCAGGATACACAGTCTGGGAGGTTGCCTGGGGCCACTGTGACAGGTGCACATTGGAGCTGGCCATCAGAGTTCTTGATGAAAGGGACATAATTTAGCAGTCTGGGATGCCCAAAGGCCACTGTGTGCATTCCCTGCTCTGGAACCCCGGACACTGCTGCAGCCAAAGAGAAGTGGGGACAGGAAGCAAACAGTCCCTATCGCTGCAGGGACAGGCCCTGCAGAGGAACTTAGCCCAAGCACAGCAGTTGCAGGCCCCCTACCTTTCCTTCTGTCAGCTCCCAGATCCAGTACAGAGAGGGGCAATGCTCCAGCACAGCTCACTACAGACCCCAAGTGGCCACCTGGGTGGGAAGATATGAGACAAAGCCAGGCAGGCTGGGCACCTCCCTGTGATCTAAAATCACTGCCGGCCCCACTGAGTGCCCTGTGGGAGCAAGCAAAGGAACCCACGAGTTGGGGAGTCAGGACAGCGTGGGGGCCCCCTGTCTGATCCTCAGAATGCATGCACCAGTAAATGCCAGTGCTGGGGGCAGGGGGTACACACAGGAGGACTCCTGGGTTCAGTGTGGCCAGCCAGCCTAGCTGAAAACGGTGAGTTCCAGATTCAGTGAGAAAGCTGTCTCCAAAAAAGGTGGGGAGGGGAATGTCAACCCCTGACCTCTGCCTGCATGTTCCTACAAGCCCACACACAAAGAAAACCCCTGGGCTGGAGCTGTAACTCTGTTGGTAGAGCACTTGCTTGGCTCACACAAAGCCCTGGGCTTCATCCCCAGCACCAATACTACCTTGGCATGCCTGTAATCCTGGCGCTGGAGAGGTCAGCCAGGAAGATAGGGAGTACAAAGTACTAACTGCATAGTAAGTTTGAGGCTAACCTGAACTATCTGAGACCCCATCTCAGACAAGGAACCCCCACCCCAAGCAAGTTTCCACACAGCCTTTCCACGGTAGGGAAGACAGTCAGCCTGTCAAAGCCATGGTGACCCTGGCCTCTTCAAGAGTGGACAGCCCCTTCTCAGCCCCCACAAGTCTGTTGCGTTGAGGAGAAAGGCAGAGAATATGGAGGAAGACGCTGCAGGACGTGACAGGTGGCCATTGCCACCTGAGCCTGCTTCTCTTCCCACAGACCTGCTGCTGTTAACTGGCCTGGCCTCGTCCGTCTTCATTCTGTCAGAGCTGCTCAAGCTGTGTGAAAAGTTCTGCTCTGGAGCCAGGACCACCCAGACGCTCCCAGATGCTGTGTAAAGGAAACACTACAGCCCTGAGTGACCTTGCATGCCTGTGGTCTGTCCACTCCAAGGGGCAGATTTTAGGAGCACACAGCATCAGGACCCTGGCTCCACATTCTGTCCCTGCTGGGATGCACGGGACAGGATGGAGCTTACTAAAACATGGCACTATTTATTAAACCACTGTGTTTTTTATTTAACCTGTCTCTGTGCTTGAGCAATGCAGCCCCATGTAATGGCACAGGGCTTCACAGCAACCAGGAATATGGCCACTCCGCCCATAGCTGTCTCCTTCGAGGTCTTGCTTCCTCATCTAAGATGAGTGCTAAGGAACAGTTCTCTAAAGACCTGTGACTCATGATGTGGAGTTGAATCCCCAGTGTTCAAAAAACCAAAAACAAAAAAACCTCCACAAGTATGATTTATGTAAAATCTGATTGAAAACAAAAGGTGCTGTCACCAAGTGGGGATAGGACATTAGTCACCTAAAAAGCTGAAACTCCAAGAGCAGCTCCCTTACACACTCACTGTGGTGAAGAACACAGACGTCTTGTGTTTACAAAGCTCTCACACCATGGACACCAAAATAAAACCCTGAAGACTTTTTCAGAATTCCACATCCACTTCTGACAGGGACGGCTCATAAACACTAATTTATGTGGAAGCTCCCTCCCCACAATAAACAGATACCTCAAAAGCACATGCTGGCATCATGCCTCATGCAGAAAGACCAGAGCATCTCCATGAGAGGGAGGAGGGGGTGGTGGAGGTGGCAGAGCTGGGCACAAACCTCACAAGGATCACAGCTCAAGGCCAGCCTAGAAACTCAGTGGGACTCACGATCCCCCTGCCTCCACCTCTCAGTAAAAAGGGCTGGGACTTGGCACTAGAGTGTCTCCCTGGCATGGGTGAGGCCCTGGGCTCAGTCCCACACTGAAAGCCATAAAAGAATCATGGTACAATGTGTAATGAAGCCACCAGAGAAGCAATGCCTGCACACTCAAGACAACCTACACGTGAATAAAACCATTACGGTCGCTGCCAGAGGGAGCATGGGCTCTCAAGTCTCTCCATGCTTCCCTCTCAAGACGTGAAGCCCAAGCCTTATGTCTCGGGAAGCTGGACAAGTGATTCTGAGTCACTAATAGCTGAGGGTCATGATACAAAAGGATTCAGCAAGCATCAGGGGTGAATCTCACACACATATGCCCGTGTGTGCTCAACTATACTCACAGGCATATGTCATGCATGCACAAGGGAAGTGTACCTGCACATCTGCACCTTCATACAGACACACATCATACACACACATGCACCCAGCACAGACATAAGTCACAGAGACACATGTGCGCCTGCACACAGGCATACATCACACACAGAGAGGCATATGTTATGCAGACACATGAGCACCTGCACACAAGCATACATCACACACATGTGTACCCACACACAGGCATATGTCATACATGCATATGTGTACCTGCACAAAGGCATATGTCACACACACACACACACTCCTGCACAAGGTAATACATGACAGATGCATGGACCTGCATAATACATCACACCTGCACATATGCATGTCTACACAGGTAAACATCACACATGCACATGTGTACACAGATCTATGTCTCACAACATGTGCACCTATACACACACACAAAGAGGCATGTGTGCCTGTACCTGGACATACCACATAGTATCTTTCCATCAGCTCCTGTATTCACTCATTTCATGCCAGCATCTGGACACAGTGGACTCTTCTGTCAGGGCAGGCACTGAGCATCGGTGAGGTGAGCTTCTGTGGACGTTTTCTGAACCAGTGGTTAATGGACACAAGCAGGCTCTTGACTATCTCTGAGCTACAGCCTCAGCCACTTTACTCTTTAAAAAACGGTCACCATGCCACTGAAGAGAAAAGCAAGCAAACATATGAGGCAGTTCCAAAACACTCTTGCTTTACCTTCCATTGTTAAACTCATTTTATTTATTCATGCTTTTTTATTTTGGTTTTTTGAGACAGTTTCTCTGTGTAGCTTTGGAGCCTGTCCTGGAACTCACCTTGTAGACCAGGCTGGCCTCGAACTCACAGAGATCCTCCTGCCTCTGCCTCCCAAGTGCTAAGATTAAAGGCCTGCGCCCCTAAAACTCCAGTATTAAAACATGAGGAAGATGCCTGAATTCACACAGAAAGTCAGTTGATTAGAAAGTAGCTTAAGGGGCTGGAGAGATGGCTCAGAGGTTAAGAGCACTGGGGGGGGGGGGTTCTTTCAGAAAACCTGAGTTCAATTCCCAGCATCTATATATCATATCAGCTCACAACCATCTATCATTATAGTCCCATGAGATCTAATGCTCCGCTCTGGTGTGCAGACATATATACAGACAAAATGCCCAATTACATATAATATAGAAATAAAAATTTTAAAGCAAGTATCTTAAGTACAGGAAAGGCATGCCATTTAACACAAGAGGACAAGGGGTATCTTTTGTTTTATTTTGTTTTGTTTTGTTTGTCCGAGACAGGGTTTCTCTGTATTGCTTTGGAGCCTATCCTGGAACTATCTCTGTAGACCAGGCTGGCCTTGAACTCCCAGAGACCCACCTGCTTCTGCCTCCCAAGTGCTGGGATTGAAGGCGTGTGCCACCAACGCTCGGCAACAAGGGGTATCTGAAGTACAGGAGAAAGGCATGCCATTTAACACAAGGGGTATGGGGCTGAGGAGAAGCCTCAGTGGGTAAAGTGAAGCTGAGAAAGCCTGGTTCAACCCCTGGAACACACCTAGAAACCCTGCTACAGGTGTGCTACAAGGCGTGCAGCAGGGACAAGACAATCTCCCAGGATCTCAGAGATAGCTAATCTGCGGTGTTTAGCAAAGCAACAGAAACAAGAGTCCCTTGTCAACATGGCGGAAGGTGAGAACTGACGCCTCAAATTGTCCTCTGACCTCTGTACTCACATAATTTGGTTTTGAAATACATTAAAAAAAAAAAAAAACTTTTTAAAGGAATTAGAACTATAGGGATGAGATATACTTTTTAAAAATACTTTGGGCCAAAGACATATAAATAGAAACCACAGGAATAGCAGCAGAAGTGACCCTCTCTATCCCCTGAGTGGAGGGGGTGCAGTTTGCTTAAAAGAAAATGCTGACAAATGTGATATAACATCTAAAATTCATGTGCAGGAAAATCAACACAGATAAAGCTGAATAAACTATGAAGAATCTTAACCACTCCAAATAAGTATGGTTTTGCTTTGTTTGACAGAAGCTTTTTTTAATGTTTGAAATTTTTATTTTTGTTTTATGCATATGTTGCCTGCATGCATGTCTGTGCACCATGTGTGCCTGTTGCCCGAGGAGGTCAGAAGAGGGCACTGGATTCCCTGGAACTGGAAGTAACAGACAGTTATAAGCTGCTATATGTGTGCTGGGAATTGAACCCAAGTCCTCTGGAAGAGCAACCAGCTCTTAACTGCTGAGCCATCTCTCTGGCCCTCAAAAAAAAAAAAAAAAAAAAAAAAAAATGCTCATATAAAGCCAGGTGGAAAAAACAGCCTAGAGAAAGCCAACGGACACTGACTAAGTTAGGGTTTCACCATAACTACAGCAAGCCTTATAAATGAAAACATGTAACTGAGGCAGTGGCTTACAGTTCAGAGGCTTACAGTCCACCATCATCATGGTAGGGAGCATGGCAGCTGAGAGTGTAGTGGTATGCAGGCAGCCACGGCGCTAGAGGATTCTACATCCTGACCAAAAGGCAACAGCAAGTGAACTGTCTCACTGGGCATGGCTTGAGCATACGTGAGACCTCAAAGTGTGTCACCCCCACAGTGACACACTTCCTCCAACAAGGCCACACCTCCCAGAAGTGCCACTTCTTTTGGAGGCCATTTTCTTTCAAACCACCATAGACACTGAAAAATGAAGCTGGTAAGGAGGCACTCAGTATGTTACAGGGGTGAAATGACGTTGAAAGCTCTGTCATACCTCAGCCAGGTGGTGTGGTGTGGCACAACTGTGGTCACACCATTCAGAGGCAGAAATAGGGGGGATCATGACTTCAAGACTAGCTTAGTCTATATAGGAGACCCTACCTCAAAAAGTCAATGGGTAGGGACACAGCACAGTAGTGAGCATTTGCCTAGTATGCACCAAGCCCTGGGTTGCCTCCCACAGCATTATCAAAACGAATGAGGGGGAGGGAAGCATCTTTTAAACCAACTAGTCACTCAGTTCATCCTGGAGACTCAATGCCAGCCAGAGACATGATGGTCACTACGGCAACAATAAGCCTCCAGTAAGACGCTGGCCTGCCTAACAGAATGCAGCAGCTGCACAGCTGACAGAAACAGCAGGAAAGGGGATGGGGAAGCCCTGAGTGACTCCCACTGAAAAACATACTGTGTCCAAACACAGCTGTGCCCCACTGTGCAGAGGGTGGCCTCCAGAGGAGCCCACGGGAGGAGGGGGCATGCCTTCCCAGAGCTGTCCTTCCGATCCTTACACAAACATCCACTCTAACAGCAGCCATGTTTGCAGCATGGGATGTGTTTCTTACCTCTTCCTCCTGCCCTTTCTGGGCCCCATATGTAAGGAGGTCTCTGGCGCTCACAGCTGAATTCTTGTTCCAGTTTCACAAAAGACCACACTCCTCATTGGAAGAGATGAGAAGTTCCTTGGGGCCTGGTTGACATCCCACACACATTTGTGCCCTGAGAGATTTGTTACAGGTACATGCGGAGAAGCAGAGCCTGTCACCTGCACCCCAAGAGGGATCCCAGACCCTCCTGTCTTTGGGGTGCTGTTCTGAGAAGCAGGATCCCATCCATGGCTTGAGCTCTAGTCAACACAAAGGTCAGAAAGCATGAGGGCCATGCTATCATGACCTCCCAATGGGCCACACCAAGAAATGGGCACCACAGGCCTGCTACTAACAAGAGACATGACTACATTTTTATTTAAAAAAAAAAAAAAAAAAAAAAAAAAAAAAAAAACCACTCCATAGCATAGTGACCTAATTCTGTGAGGTTACAATAGGGTTGTCTGAAGAGTCCAGTATTTTCTCTCTATCCCACATACCATTGACAACTGGCTTCTTATCAAGAAAACCAAAATGGCCCAGCTCTTGTCTGCACCATACATACACCCCTCTATGTACAGAAACAATACTTCTGTTTGGAAGGCACATGCCTCAAATCCTCTGCTGTGCTCAAGACAGTTACACGAATGAAGTATTCTAGGAGCTTCCTGTGTAAAAAACACAGAACTGGAAAAATGCACATAGCTGGCTTTACCATGGCTTTTAATTGAGGCAAACTGTACAATCAAAGGCAGAACCTTAATCAGATCTATAAAGGTTGAAGTTTACAGCAAAAGGCAATCAGAAGAGGTAGAGGTCTCAGAGAGGGGCCCATGGCTCCTCTGAGTGGGTAACACTGGGCGGCAATGACTCAGAGTGTGATGGGTAGCCTGCCCACCTGAGTACTTTTCAGTCTTCTGGGATAACAGGAGTCTGTATAAAGTACATCTGTACTATCCCATTACTCATCATCTTTCTGAGAAGCCCTGAGCTGTGACCTCAGAGAAGGTACCTGGAGGCTGCCACTCCCAGCCAAGACTGAACATCACCCACCACTGACTTCAGGGATGGGTCTTCTGCATCCATTAAGCAAGCACCCAGACTTCAGCTCTCTCCAAACACCCTCATAGTTAAGTTAGCAGCACACTAATGGCTTGGTCTCTGGGTAGATAGGTCAAGTTTTCCCATTTGCCCATCAGACTCATTTTAAGTGTTGAAATAGCTGTATGGACACCCCCATCAAAAATCTGTTTGGAGGAGTCCTGCCCCCAGAAACATTACCTTCAGATCTTTAGCTACAAACCCAGAAATCCCATGCTGGAGGTGGGGCGGTGGGTATTTCCAAAGTACCAAGATGCTCATCTGAACACCTCTGTCTTTCCACTCACTGTGGACCATCAGGGTGTTCACTAGGACCCAGAGCAAAGGCCACACATAGAGCCCCCTCAGAATACATGTCCCCAACAACCACCTTTCCAGCAGGTTTCAAGCCAAATCTTTGTCTTTGGATTCTACCCACATAAAATGAACAAAGAATAAGGCCAAAGTTCTAGCCTATGCTCAGGGATCCTGGGAGGCAACACCCATCAATTATGGCTTCAGTGGGATTTTTCTTTGCATGGCTGTGTTCTGATTAAGTACATCCATGATGGCCTAGTTGTGGTCATGTGGCTGTGTTAGTTAAAGCTAAGCCAGAGTCATGGCAGAGGGTGTGAGGGGCTCTGCCTACCCGGCACTGCATCCCTGGAGGAGTCCCTACCCTTGCTCCAGGAAGCCCACAGTTCAGGGACCTCAGTCATCATCATCATCAGGAACTTCCCGAAGTCCCTCACTGTGGCGAGCCCGTCCACTGATCTCCAGCAGGGATTGGGCTGCAGGATTCGAGTCAAGGATGCTCTTCTTGTTCTTGACCTTGGGAAGAAGGGGAATAAGTATGTTTAGGACTACACAGGGAGATAACAGTTCCCACCAACCTGGGCCATATAGTGACTTCCTCCTAGAGATCAGCTTATCAGACTGGAGTCACAAAAAGGCCAGGTGTCATGGGTGCCCTGAAGCCTTCCTGGCTGGGATGCAATTGCCAGGATCATGCAGAAATCAAGTGTTCTTGCAGACTTGCAGGTAGGGAAGGCAAAGAGCCATCTATCTGGGCCAGGTGCACATCTTAGGTAGGTCCCCACTTGCAAGGCAAACCCACACCCTATTTTGCTGCATGTATCCTGGCATGGCCCATAGCTAGTAAAGACAAACTTCCCAGATAGAGAAGCAGGCAGAGCAAAAGTAAGAAAAAGCAGAAAGGCCATGGCTCCGTGTGAGGCCACTGCCATGCAGAACTCACCGGACATGTCTTTAAGAGATCACCGAGCCCCCACACCTCCATCTTATCAAACTGGAAGTCCTCCTGGGCTGAGAGCTGTGGGCTGTTGTAGGTGGTACATGTGGGCTTGGCTTTGCTGTGCCCTTTCCCAAAGTCAGCAGCCACCCAAAGCCCAAAGTAATGGTGCTGCCCACCCATGCCCTGTGGAGCAAGTGGAGACAGACATCAGTGTCAGCAGCCATGCTTGATCAATCAATCATGAGAGAACCAGGGAAGGTCTTGTGTTCTTGGCCAGCCTGAGACATGGGGGAAGTAGGAATGTAGTGGGAAGTTTTGTTTTTGTGGACTGTGATTATAATCACATTCCAAGTTACTAAACGGTCATGGACATCAGCCGACCACACTCCACAGCTCTCTGGTGAGGCTACACACAGGGAACAGCAGACTAGGAACTCTGCATACTCCCACAGTGTTCCAAGCAGTTACTCAGGGGTGAGGTGAGCATGGGAACCCTGGAAACCTCTCTGTGCCCTGTCCCCACCACGCCCCCTCAGGAAAGGTGGCAGGCTAGGAGCGCAACTCAGATCCTTTCTTCCCACCACATAGTTCCACTGCCACGCTCAAGCCAGCTGTTACCCTGCCTCCCTGTCCTGATGTCACCCTCTGTCACACCCTCTTGTCCCTGGTGGGCCTGGAACACATGATATGGCCTGCTTCCATCTTGGACATGTGGGGATCCGAGCCCATGTCAAGAAGCAGTTTTTGATCCCTAGGCCAAGATGAGTGGTTCCTGTGGATGCTGGGACTGCTCCTGGGGCTGACTGCCAGACTTACTCTGAGAGGGCTCCAGTGCCCCTAAACTCTGGTGCCCTGGAGACCTGGCCCATGTCCCTCCCACAGCCTGGGAGGGAACTCTTGACCCTCTGTAGCTGGCTGAGGGAACTGTCTCCTTGGCTCTCAGCTCAGTAAACTCAGAGCTGGGCCTCCCCCCAGAAGGCTCATCAAGAAACAGACAAAAGAAAAAGGCCAGCAGGGTGGGTGGCTCTTGTCCATGCCAAGCATCCTTGTGGGCATCTGTCCTCCTAGACCACCATGCATCCAGCTGGCATTTCTGGCCTGGCCTCCAGCTTCCTCTCTTTTCCTCTTCTCTCTTCTCCTTCCCTCCTCTCCCTCTTGTCCACTTTCTTCTCCTCTCTCCTCTCATTCTCTCCCTTCTCCTACCCTCGCCCCTGCTCTCTTTTTCTTCCTGAGGCTATCAGCATTCAAGAATATGGCCACCACAAGCATAGCCTGTCTCATAAGTTACTAATGACCAAACTCAGTGCCCAGAGCCCTCAGCTCAGGGGTTGCCCACCTCCAACAAGCTCAGCACACAGCCTTGGTGTGCAGACTGAGCATATACGGCAGTGCCTTGTAATAGGTCTGCTATCAACATCCTCTTGGGATACAGGCCAATCATTTGGGGTCCATGGAAAGGGCCAGGCTACTTGCACACAAACCAGGGGAAAGCCCAGCAAAGGCATGGCTATCACTAAGGAAGATGTGCCCTGGTACGGGCTCTCAGTACATAGCACAGAAGGGGCAGACACACTCCCACCTGGCTGGTGGGACACCCCTCCCCACCTGCTTACCAATCCATTGGGCATGGTCTGCTGTCCGTGATTTAAGTACATGAAGTGGTCATTGTAACCTGTGTGCATGTACATGGCCATGTTGGGCATGATGGAGAACAGGAAACATTTGTTGTCCCCTGGAAGTGACAGAGAGCCAAGGAAATAGTCACTGCTTCTGAGCCAGACACAAATAATTACAAACAGGGACAGGCTACATCTCGGAACGCAGCAGCCAAGGAGAGGTGTGGAGGGGCGTCTTGGTGATCAGATGTCTAGGGGCCCCAATGGAGAAGCTGAGGGCTCAAGGATCTGAGACCTGCAGCACTGTCTGAGGTTGGCGCAAAGGCTCTGGAGAAGTGGCATTCATCTGTGCTCACTCAACCCTAGAGCTGAGCCTGCAGGGGCACAGTGAGGTGCCGAGTGCAGCCGGCCCTGGAGTCTCCAGTCAGGCACAGTGCTGCCTCTTCCTAGGACAACAATGCAAACAGCACAGGCTGCAGATCCTGAGGCTGCTGTTTCTAAACAGACCCACCCGCCAGCCTGGCAACACTTGAAAACTTGGACTCGGAGGCCATTCCCACCATTCCCTGAACTGGAACACCCCAAAACCTAGCAGTAAATCAAACCCCAAGCACACCTGATCTAGGGAACCAAGAGAACACGTGTGTATTCATGTGTGTGCAACCAACAGCTCATTTCCCTCCCAGGCCTGTGACCAACAGCCTGACCAGAAGAATTCCAGGGATGGCAGTCCTGCCCGCCCCTGGCCTCCAGAGCCGCATCTGCAGAATGAAGATGAGGAAGCCCAGAGGTGCGCTGTAACATAGGGGTGCCACGACGGCACCTTGGCCATCTGCGGGCACCGGAGGCAGTCTGCCACCTACGAAGGAGCCTGGGGACAGCCAGGAAGGACAGCTCTGTGAGAGTAGTGAGGGAAGGTTACAACTGACTCAGTCACATGTGACTTCCATGGCTAACAAAGCCACAAAATCAGAAAAGCAGGGAGCAAGGTAGCAACACTGGGGAGGGTTGTGAGCCAGTACAGTGAGCAAGCATCCAACCCCTGCGAGGAGGCAACTCACATCCCCTCCCGGGCCTCCATCTGGTGACATTTTTGTTGTCACCTGGAAGCAGGGTTGACCACCCAGCCAGGGCCAAATAAGGGGTCCGTGATTCCAGAGAGGAGCATAATACCTGTACTGCAGCTTCAGTCAAGAAACCATTGGAGGGTCAGGGGCTGTGTGTGTGTGTGTGCGTGCGTGCGTGTCTGTGTGTGCACACACAAGTATGTGCAAATATGTATGAAAGCCAGGGCTTGTGCCCTTCCCAAGCTTCTTCAAGCCTTCAGGGTTAGGGTCCCTGCTAGGATTTGAATGTGAAAAGTCTCCCATGGGTTGGGTCACTTGTCTGAACACTTGGTGCCAGGCTAGTGGAGCTGTTTGGGGAGGTTATGGAACCTTATGCAGAGGAGGAGGAAGAGGGTTGCTGGGGAGACAGGTCTCAGAGGTTATGGCCCAGTGCCACTTCTGCTCAGCCCCTCACACTGTGCTTTTTTAAAATGTGTGTATACGTGTTTTGCTACATGTATGTGCCTACCTAGTGCCTCCAGAGGCCAGAAAGAGGGCATCCAGAAAGATCCCCTGGAACTGGAGTTGGAATTGAGAGCCATCATGTAGGTGCTGGGAATCAAACCAGTGTCTCTGCAAGAGCAGCCAGTACTCTAACCTCTGAGCTGTCTCTCCAGCCTCACTACAGTGCTTCCTAACCCACCAGGCTGTTGACAAGCAGCAGTCACCCACTCCACCACCCTGCTTTGACCACCATGATGAACACTATCCCCCACAAACTGAGAGCCATGACACAGCCTCCCTCCCCTCAGCGCTTCTTCTGTCAGGTAGCTGGCCACAGCAACAAATGTAAGTATCCTAGTTTCCTGTCTGTTGCTGTGATAAGACCCAGACAACAAGCAACATAGGGAAAGGGAACTATTGGGCTCATCATTTCGGGGAAGTCAAGAACTCAGACAGCTATGCACACCACAACCACAGTCACAGAAGGGGATAAAGACTGCACCTGCAATGCCCACTCGCTCTCAGCTAGCTTTCTTTACTCCTGTATAGTTTAGGCCCAGCACACAAAATGGTACACCATCAATGGGCGGACTCTTCCCACATCAATTAACAGCCTGCTCTGGATAACACCTAAAACTCTCTCCCCAGGGGATGCTTGCCTGTACCAGGGTGACAGTTAACCCCAACCAGCGACATACCTAAGGTCTTACCTTGAAACTGAGGCTTGACCTCCCAAGAACAGGAGGCAAAGCCACCAAAGACATAGCCGTCCCTGTCCTCGATTACCAGCAGGCTGGGCCCCTGGTGTGTGATGTGACTGCACAGCTGAGAAAAGCTGTGTCCATGGAGCTGTGTGGAGAACAGCAGGCGCCAGCGGTGCCGCTGCTCTGCGGCCAGGTGGGAGTTGAGGTAGATGATAGATGGCACGTCCAGAATGCTCTCAAAGTGCTGCTCTTGGCCCACCTGGCACTCAGGAATCAGCGTGGAAAGGTCAAGGGACGAGTTCAGGAGGTGAAGGCCCCGATGGACGACCACACTCAGAAATATGCCCACATGAGGGACATGGAACACCCAGTCTTCGATCATGGTTTGGTCGCAGACCTGGTCCAGGCACTGAGGCTCCAGAAACGTGTGGCCATCTAAGGAGAGGGAATCGGCATTAGTGAGCCCACCGTGTCACCTGACAGCAACCACCCAAGCCTGCAATAACCAATCTAAGAACCACAAGTCACGTATGGCTCATCTGAGCCGAGGCATGTCGGAAGTCTCATGAGCACTTCCAGCTTCAAACAGCCACTATGAAAATCCACTGTAAAATATAACAATATCCACAATATACAGGTTAGAAACGTATTTTGGCTATATTAGCAAAACTCGAATCTCTATTTCTTTGTATAATTTTGATCTATTTATTTACTTATTTTGGGTTTTTCAAGACAGGGTTTCTCTGTGTAACAGCTCTGGCTGTCCTGGATCTTGCTTTGTAGACCAGGCTGGCCTCAAACTCACAGAGATCCACCTGCCTCTGTCTCCGGAGTGCTGGGGCTAAAGGCATGCAACATCACACCCTGTTATAAAGTTGGATTCCAACACCCATGTCTGGTGGCTCTTGAGTGGCTGTAACCCCAGCTCCAGAAGATCTAACACCCTCTTCTGGCCTCTGTAGGCACCCACATGCATGTGTACATACTACATACATAATAAAACTAGATGGAAAACTGAAAGGACACACTGAGATGCATAATAACAAACGCAGCACACGGCAACCTTGGGAATACAGCTAAAGGGGCATTTGGAGGGCAACTCTCATAGCTACAAACACCTACACTGAAGAAGGGAGACAGCAAATTAACCACTTAAACCTTAAGAAACAAGGGTGCTGAGGAGATGGCTTGGTTGGTAGAGTACCTGCCAAGCAAACCTGAAGACCTGAGTTCAGATCCCCAGCTGTGTCTAACCTCAGCACTGGGGAATGGAGACAGAGACAAGTGGATCCCTGGGGCTTCTGGGCCAGCCAGCCTAGCCAACTGGTGGGCCCCGGGTTCAATGAGAGATCCTGTCTCAGAAATAAGATGGAGAGAGCTTGAAGACGCCTGACATGAGCATGTATACACTAAGTATTGCCGCTCAGATGGAAAAGAATCCTGGCAGTCGGGAGCCAAGGAACTCCACAAAGTCACTGTAAGTATAGCATCTTACAGCCCTGCTCAGGGGAAAGGTTTCCCCAAATGTAGTGACTCTTCTCGGGTAGGAGAAGGTTCCCCTGCTCAGGTCCCAGAGTAGCAGAAAGTTTCACCAGCAAAAGTGTTACAATTTTACTCTGCTCTGCTCCTGTGAAAATTGTTAGTTCTCCTCTTGGGGGCAGGGTGTGTGTGTGTGTGTGTGTGTGTGTGTGTGTCCTGTGAAAATTGTTAGTTCTCCTCTTGGGGGCGGGGTGTGTGTGTGTGTGTGTGCGTGTGTGTGTGTGTGTGTGTGTGTGTGTGTGTGTGTGTGTGTGTGTGTGTGTGTCTCACCCAAACCTCATTCAAGAGATTTTATTGGGAAGCAAGGGGCTAGGAGGGAGGCTGCTCTGTCAGGATGGAAAAAGGCAGCTCCCTTATATAGGGCCTCTTAGGGGCAGAGTTTTTCCCGGGTGAAAATTAGTCAGGTTTTATTTCATCCCTGAGTTTGAATAATCTCAGAGATTGGCTAGATTTCCTGCTCTAGCATTGGTTGGTTTTTGTGCTGAGCTGGTCTGGCACAGAGTATGTTTCTTTGGCTCTGGTTTCATAGACAGGGTGTGTTTCTTAACCTTTTGGCTCTGGTTGCTGGGTCAGGATGTATTTCTTTTACTGGCCCTTTTACCCTAAACACACTACACAGAAAGAGAGAAAAACTAAGGAGACACAAGCAAGTCTAGTGCAAATAATAAACAGTAAAATGGACTGGGAAGACAGAGAAGAATCACCCAGACTTTAAAAAAAAAAAAAGTTGTTCTTTTTAATTAACAAACCAGCTAAAGAGATGGCTCTCACAGAGAACCTGGGTCTGGTTCTCAGCAGTACATTAAGCGGCTTACAACCATTTATAACTCCAGTTCCTTCGGATCTGATGCCCTCTTCTGGCCTTCACAGACAGGGTTTCTCTGTGCACCCCTGGCTGCCCCAGAACTCACTCTGTAGACCAGGCCGGCCTCAAACTCACAGAGATCCACCTGCTTCTGCCTCGTGAGCACTGGATTTAAAAGTGTGCACCACCACCATCCAGGCTAAACATTAATCTTTCTTTAAATTCAACAAAAATATAGAGACCCTTTCTACTAGATTGACCAAGAAAAAAAATATTTCAGGCACTGAAACCAGAGGAGAAAATGTGATGTCACAATAGCTTCTGCCCAAGGGCATCCCACAGAGCAATCACAGATCAAGGGAGAGAGGCACACACCACAGCAGAGCTTCCCTGGGAGGGTATAGTCCCAGCAACTGTGGCACCCCCACCATGCCAAGACCTGAATGGCAGAGGATGACCCACACTTGCCTTGAAACTTCATCTGTGAGAGCAGCTGGGCAGCCATCACCTGCACACTGGTGGGGGATGCCTTGGGTTTCCTCCGAGTCCAGCCTCGAAGCTCACGCCGGTGGGTCAGCACATGCACCAGAGAGGCTACCAGTTCCTCTGTGAACTAGGAAATACTTCACTGTTAAAGCCAAACCCTCCCCGACCCACTCCCAGCACCAACCACAGTGGACCTCAGCATGGGTGTCACCCCACTCTGTGTAGCTACCCATGTATTAGTTTTCTTTTCTGAGCATCCCATGTAGCCCAGGCTGGCTCCAAGTTGCTATATGACTGAAGGTGACCCTGAAGTCCTGATCCTCCTGCCTGTGCCTACTAAGTGCTGGAATTACAGATGTGGTCTGCTATACCTATTTTATGAGCTGCTAGGGGTGGAGCCATGGTTTTTGTGGATGTTATATGAAAATTCTAGCAAGTGATAGTACATCCCTAGCCCTCTTCCCCTTTTTGTTAAATCCAAACACAGGGTCTTACCAAGGTGCTTAGGCTGGCTTTAGACCCTCTTGAGTAGCTGGGTTGTCAGGCCTGTGCCCCAGGCCTGGCTTCCCTTCTTTTTTTTTTTAAATTTTATTTATATGTATTTTCTGTATAAATGCTCTGTCTGCATGTATGGTTGTGAGCCACCAGGTGGTCGCTAGGAACTTAACCACTGAGCCATCCCTCCAGACCCCGGCTTTCAATCTTCTAGTAACACCCTTACTTCACCTAAAAGTTTGCCAAAACTGGTTCAAGAGTTCTGAATCAACTAAACTATTGTGTGGGCTCAGCTCCCTGAGGCTGGCCAGCATCATGATGCCATCATTACCTAAGCCACTGTCCCAAGCCTCTACCAGGACATGGAGTTTCTACCTTCAGGACTTCTCTGGCCTTCACAGGACACTCTGCAGCTAAGATTATTTTCATAACCATACGGCCCTTCTCCTCGACGCTCCCTCTCAACAGGTGGGATAGGAACACTGTGAACTGCTCCCGGGAAACATTCCTGGAGCCCCCATGTGCCTTGTGGGTTGGCTTGACCCTCCACATGCCATTATATAGCCTGGTGACCATCACTGGAGGAAGAGCTTCCTTGACATGGTTCTGTTGGAAACAAACAGAAAAGACCTTAGGCAGGGTGCACTGGTGCACTGGAAAACAAGCTGAGGACAAGACCAACCACTGCTCCACAGATGCCACCTGCAGCTGCATAACCTTCCTAAGTCCCCACAGTACCGGGTCCCCAACCAGAGGGTCCCAAAGTGAAGTGGCTCAAGCTGGGGTGCTCAGTGGTAAAAAGCTCAGTGCCATATGGAAGGCCCAGGGTTTGATCTCTAGTAGTAGGGGGAAAGAAAGCCAGGCAGTGGTGGCACACACCTTTAATCCCAGCACTTGGGAGGGAAAGGCAGGTGTATCTCTGAGATCAAGGGCAGCCTGGTCTACACAGTGAGGGTTACACAGAAAAACCCTACCTCAGAAAACCAATTGATTAATTAATTAACTAATTAATTACTTAAAAAGAAAAAGAACAAAATATTCCAGTTCATCGTGGCCATCATATACTTCCTGTCTAGTCACTGACTGCACCTCACACTCCAGTCTCCCTAGGCCAGGCATGGCCTTCCTGCTGCTGCTCCTCACTCTGCTTAGGGCTCTGTGTTCACAGATTCTTACAGCTGCAGCACTTGTCTGAGCTCAAGAACATGTGGGCCACGCCTGTGGGGAGCTGGTGTGGCCTCTGCACTGAGCCACTATGAACTAGCTGCCTCTTACTCCTGCTATGTTTTAAACTATTTTTCACTCTTTCCTTTGCAATGCTGAGCCTTACACACAACAGCTAAGCACACTTCTCCCACTGAGCTACAGCATCGGCCATTAGACCAACTGACTCTTAAGACTTTAACATTCTGCTAGAGCCATCAAATCTGTTTTGGCCCAGGGGTTACAAAGAAGTAGAGAGGGAATGTGTCTCACAAAGTAGCAGATGTCCTACAGAGCAGGGTCTGTGCTGGATCCTCTCCATAGCTCAGGTCACCCCTAACCTGTCCTACTGAATGGTGTAGCTGCTGCCAGGCGCACCCCTCACACATGGAAAGGGTGGTCCTCAATGTGCTGAGGCATAGAAGCCACTACTGCCTCCCAAAGAGTCACCAAGCTGCACAGCAACGTGTCACTATGGACCATGATAAATGCTGCAGGCTTGACTAATCTATCCCTCCAGCTGCATGCACACGCAGCTGAGCCTTAGTCACCCACATATACCCATGCACATGTTCACATATGCACATATATCACATGTGGAGCTCCCATAACACCTGGAACAGCTGGTTAGCTGACGGTGGCGGTGGATCCACGAAGCCCCCATTCAGTTGCCTTCTGCATGCTCTACAGCAGTGGCTCTCAACCTTCCTGATGCTGCCACCCTCTAATACAGATCCTTGTGCTACAGCGACACAGTCTCAACCATAAAACTGTTTTCATTGCTACTTCATAACTGTAATTTTGCTACTGTTATGAATTATAATGTAAGTATCTGTGTTTTCTGCTGTGAAAGGGTCATTCGAAGCCCCCAAAGGGGTTGTGACCCACAGGTTGAGAGCCACTATTGTAGAAGAAAAAGCTTTAGAATGGCTCCGTAGACTACAGATACTGTCCATTCCAAGTTCCCTCTGTCCTTTCCATCTTTCCCTCGGACCCTTCTTCCTGTTTTCTGAGCCAAGGCCTTGGTAGGCCCAGGGATCCCTGTCAGCCTCCTGAGTGTGTGGACCACAGACAGGCACAGCCATGCCTGACATCAGGTCCTTGCTTTAGTACATATAAGACACTGTATTTCTGCACCAGCACTTAGAGGACTGAGGGAAGAGACCCACTGTCAGTTTAGGGCCAGCCTGTGAATTCCAGGTTAAACCAGCTTTGGCTATATGCCAAGACTGTCTCAAAACACAGAGTGGGATTGCTGTTCATCCATGGCCCATGGCTGCTTTCTACCTTTCCGCCCTACAAGGACAGAGAGCACAGCTGTGATATAGTCATGGAGCCCACAGTGCCAAAAACAGGGGTCATTCACCAAACACCAGCTTTTTAGTGCTCACCACAGCCGAAGACTCTAAATCCCCACCACGTGGCCCCTTCTTGCCTTTAGTGCCTCCAGAGAGAACGTCTCCGTTGCTGAGCCACCTTTATTAGATGACAGTGCATCAAACAGCCTGTCCACCTCAGCCTGTTCCTCGGACAGGAACTTGGAGCATGTTTTCTGGCTCGGCAGGCTCTTGGCATTCCCCATCTTGCCTGGTCTCTGGAGCTCTCTGCACACCAGGAAGAGAGAAAAGTTACAGCATGAAAATCACCAAGATATTGAAAACCCATGGTGGCAAACAACCACTCACTGCAAAGTGCAGCTAAAATACGTTTGATGTAAATTCTGATCTGATGGGGTAGAAATTAACAGCTGACACACATGAAATGTCTCGGGCCCGTGCTGACCCATCATCATTCCTTCATTTAAAAACCATACTACTTGGCCCTGGTATAGTGGCACAGCCCACTGATATTCAGGAGACTGAATCACGGGCAGTGGTAGCCACGAGCCTAAGCCAGAATAGATTACTTAGCAATGTTTTAGCACTTACCAATACCTCACTCCTCCTCATGGCTAAATGACATGCCATTGTATGGACATGCCACATTTTGTTCACCAATCACTAACTGGTAGGCACTGGGCTACTTCCACTGTGAGCTTATTACAGATAGTGCTGCTGCAATCCCACGCACTTGAGTCCCTCTTTTTGGGGTCTCTGTACTTCCTCCACAGGCTTCAAGCCTCAGACATGGGACAGTGGAACTCTCCATGTTCTGAGGAGCTGCCATCTTGTCCTCCAATTACATTCCCACCAGCCCAGCACAAGGTCCCACCTCCTCCACACCCTTGCCAACCTTTGTTCTCTGCTGTCTTTGGGGTGGGGGGGGTGGCTAGGGCCCTGCTCTGGACAGGCTTCCATGCTGCCAAGTTTCCCCAGAAGACATGTCCCTCCACAGGGCTCACTCAGCCCATGATACATACACCATTCAACCTAACCACTTTAAAGAGACTTGGCAGCAAGTCCAGGCTGTACTCCACAGCCAGCAGCACGAGGTTGGCCTCACCTCCAAACCAGGCAGCAGCACAGCTGAACCCCATCCCTCCAGGGACACGCCCATGCTGTCACACAGAACAGACCCCTGGGATCCAAACACTAAGCTATCTGGGACTCAGTCAGGTTATCGGTCACCCCAGATGAATTTTAAACAGCAACCAAAAAGCGAATGACTTCCAGCGGGGGGGGGGGGGGGGGGTCTCCAGACGCAGTGTCATGGTTGTTTAGGGTACTCAGGAGGGGACAGTGAAGAACAGTGTACTTCCAAACAGCTAGGAAGTACAGGGAAGGAGACACACTTCTACAGTTCGCAGGAGCCATCCAACCATCAGGAACCAAGTGGGGACCACTGTAAAGTGTCCTAAGGTAGGGTTGGGACAATGACAACAGAAAATGCCAACACAGCCCCAGGCCTGGGGCAGAACAGTAGACCAGGGTGTTGGGAGGGCTCAAAATGGATTCCAAGCTGGCTTGAGTGGTGTGGGGAGGGCTCTGAGGGAAGAAGAGGACTCTGAGGGAAGGGACAGTTCAGTAGCTTCATTTCTGCCTGAGAAGCAAAAGGGGACAGAGGGCTAGAGCAGAATTAGGACGGAGGAATGCTTAGTGGTCAAGGCTCAGGCCTTCGGGTGCTCATCCCCCTCCTAGAAAATCTGAAGGAGTCAGCCGGTGGTGGCACACACCTTTAATCCCATCACTTGGGAGGCAGAGACAGGCAGATCTCTGTGAGTTCAAGACCAACCTGGTACAGAGTGAGTTTCAGGACAGCCTCCAAAGATACAGAGAAAAACAAACAAAACAAAAGAAAAAATTAGAAAAAAAAAAGGAAGAAAGAAAGAAGGAAGGAAGGAAAGGAAGAAAGAAAGAAAGAAAGAAAGAAAGAAAGAAAGAAAGAAAGAAAGAAAGAAAGAAAGAAAGAAATCTGAAGGAAGCCTGGCCTGGTGGTGACACCTGAAATCCAGGCACTTGGGAGGCTATGTTAGGGTAGTGAGTTCAAGGCCAGCCTGGGATACATAAGGCCCTATCTCCCTCAATGGATCAATCTAGCAGCAAAGGGGCATCAGAAGGCCTGAGGGCTTCTGACAAGAGTTGTGCCTCACACAAGTGGCAGATTTCAAGAAGCCTACTAAGGGAATGGTTTGCAGACAGTAGCCTTCTGTCAGGCATGGAGGCTCAGGGCCCACTGGTAGCTGCTCCCACCCCAGCAAACTCCTAAGAAATCATGGGATGTCAGAATTATATTCTCAGGCAGCTTCCTTCCTCCTTGTCAGTCCTCACTGTCCTCCAGCTCTCATTTCTAACTTTGGCACTCATGACATTTCCTGGAAATCCCCTCCCACTCATGCTTCGTAGACTGTGTGCCGTCCTGCCCTCCCAACATGAGCTTGGTGGCACTGAGTTCACTGACTCCAGTGAGATGCCACCAAGTGCCACAAGCTGATTCCATCACTCTGCTCATCACTCTGCTCAGAGGTCACATCCTCTGAAGAACTCCCTGGTAGTCCCCACCCAGGGGCAAGCCCTGCCCTTTCCTTGTCCTGCTTTGTCCCCCACAGGGACCCTGATACCTGACCCCACAGCTTTTCCCTGTGCCATGTCTGACTCCTGGCTCCAATCTGAAGGCTACAAGGGGACTGTGATTCACCACCACTATCCCATGCCTTAGCCTGAGGTGACAAGACACATATACTGATGGCTGAGTCTATTCCCTTGCAGCCTCTCAGGACATAGTTTGCTCTGTCATAGATAATCTTAGTTGTCAACTTGGTGAATGTGGAATCACCTGGGAGACAGCTCTGGGTAAGTCTGTGAAGGATCACTGTGATTAGGTTGACTGACACACCCTAACTGTGGACAGCACCAGGCCAAAGGCTGGGGGGGGGGGGGTCCTGGGCTGAATAAAAAGGATAAAGGAAGCTGGGCACCCGTATTCATCTCTCTCAGGTTCCTGACTGTGGATGCTATGTGACCAGCTGCCTCATGTCCCTGCCTCTGTGATCCCCCCCCCCCCCGCCCCCGTGATGGACTGTATCCCCTCAAACTGCAAACCAAATAGAGCACCCTTCTCTTAAATTGCTTTGTCAGGTGTTTGGTCACAATGACAGGAAAGGTAGATGGCACCCTTTCCTTCCACTTTGTGGGTTTCCCAGTGCTAATTCTTCACCAAATCCCAAGAAGCAGCCCCCAAGGGCTCAAGCCCTCCCCCAACCCACAAGAGCCCCATGGTCAGCACCACTTGCTCCAGCACACATGGCCTGCCCCTGCTCAGTGACATCACTTACATAGCCATGGCCTGCCAACAGGAAGCCACAGTGGGGACCCAACTTACTGAGAAATTAATTGCTAAGCACCAGGCCTTGAACAGAAAACAAGCTAGGGGCAGCAGGAAACGGTCAGATGCCAGGGCAGAGCCGGAACACAGCCGGAACACAGCTGCTCTGTGGGGAAGGGGGAAGGTGTGGGGGGCTACATGGGAAGGGCAGCCTGCAGGGGAAGGGCAGGTCTAGAGCCCCAGCTCAGGGAAGACACCCCAGCCACTGTAGCTGAAAGGCAAACTGTCTCCGTTCCTTTCACAACTGCAGGAAGACTGGTTCTCAGGCTCCACACTGTTCCTCCAAGCTATAAGCTCTGTAATGTGGCAGGGAATCTGTCAGCTCCCAGGAGGAAGGTTTCTGTTGTGTGCAAACAGCAATCAGAGGCAGGTTCCATCCAGTGTCCAGGGCCTCCATGGGGACACCTCAGTACAAGGGACAGCCTTCCCCTGCCAATTTATATCCACCCTTTGCAGGTAAAGGCACCTCAGTTACTGTAAGGTCACTTGTAGCAGTGTGTGTCAGCCTTGTAAACCAGAAGGGACATTTGACGTGGATCAGAGCCATTTTTTTTTTTTTTTTTTTTTTTTTTTTATCAGAAATGGCGGTAGGGGAGGGTGCTGTTCCCATCCACCAGGCAGAGGCCAAGGATACTGCTAAGCACCTTACAGGGCACAGAACCTCACCCACCACAAAGCTTCCAGCCATGGCTTGAGAATGCAGGGCAGGGATCAAACAGGAGTCACCCCGTGAAGGTCACCCATAGTCACAGCCCTGACCTTTCTCCATTCAGCACCAGAGCTCTGCAGTCACAACCGGAGCAAACTTGGCCTCACTGAACACTTGTTCCATAACCACGGGCACATGACTGCTTCCACACCTGGGTATAATCAAGGAGTAAGCCTTTGCCTGGTGATATCTTAAGTCTCCTAAACCCACCTGTGCACTTCCTCGAACAAGCCAATCTCAGCAGCAGCCCATCCTCAATACCCCACCACCCTTGTTAGCTAATCAGGTCCTTTCTCCTCCCCCAACCAGGTGATCCATTCCCAGAGGAGCCCAGCCTCTCAACTGTGAAGTCCCATCACCAAGCCTCTACTCCACAGCCTTGAGTGGAGTGTGACCTACCATGTTTTAATAAGTTCGGATGAATCATTTAACATTAGGGCATCAGATTGAATAAAGCCATCCAAGGGTATCTGGTCCTACTTCCTGGAGGCCAAAAACAACAACAACAAAAACAAAACAAAAACACGGATGGGCCCACAATAATAAATGGGAGCTCCTTGAGTTTGTTTGTCCTAAAGCATGGGATAGGTTCTCTGCTGCCCCGGACTCCTGGTGGCAGGTCCGGGTGTGCCTCGGGCCTCTTCCCATAAGGCCTCCAAGGGATCATGACCCTCTGTTCAGTTCCTGAAGTCAATGTCCACCACCACATCTGAGTAGCACCATCAAGCCCAGATTTGAATCCTTGAGCCCACTGGCGCCTATGCAAGCTGGCCGCTCTCCTTCCAGCCCAACCGGGGGGCGGGGGGGGGGGCCTCAGGAGTACAGGCCAGGGCACCTCCCTAGCCTCTCCCTGACTGGGTTTTGAGCTCAGCTCTGAAGAATTCCTGGGTTTGTCTTGGAAAATAAGGCAGGCCCACAGACTCCTGAGCACACCCAGTTTCACCCTTCCCAGGCTCTTTCTGCTTCTCTGACAGCAGCTTTGACCGAGGGAAGGCTCCTTGGGGGCTTACTCGGACCACCCGAGTAAGCTTCCTTCCTTGAGCTATCCATAGCCTCCCTCAGTGTGCCCAATCTCCGGCTCACCGGCCTTGGCTCACAGGGACCGAGCTCCTTCCGGTGCGTCCAAGGGGCCAGGGTTGCCCCGGTCGCCCAGCCCATTCCCTAGCAACGGCGCTGACGGACCGTCGTGAGCACCAATTGGGGAAGGGAAATTCAGAGGCGGAGCCCTATAAAGAGCTCAACCAATGGGGTTGTAATTTGCAGGGGTGGGCGGAGCCTGGGAGCGGTGAATTTGAGTCTCGCTGGAGGAGCACCCGGGTATAGGGCTAGAGCATGGCGGCTGGTGTTCTAGGAAGGTAGGTTAGGAAGGTTAGGGCTTGAGGGGATGCTGGGAAGCTGCCGAGAGGCTGGGAACAGAGCATGGGGTTTGAGAGCAGGGGGCTGAGAGTGAGAAAAGGGGGCCTGGAAGAAGGGGGGGGGTCCTAGCAGGGGAGCTGTGAGTACAGTAGAGGATCTGGAAGCCGGGAACTGGGGGCCTGAGCTGGGACTGGCCCGCAAGGGCTACAGTGGAAATCTGATCCCCTCCCCTTACCTCCTGCAGTCCATTCCGCCGGCCAGTGTAGCACTTGTCACACAGAAATAGATGCCAACCGGTCTTGTCCCCAGAAGAGTGGAATAGCTTCCTGTCAGCCCCACCTGGCTTTTTCTGGTGCTGTGGAAGACACAGCAGAGACAGGATGCAGGGAAGCTTCGGAATTCTCAGCAGTGATGTCCCCACTAACAGGCAGCGGCTTCCAGAGAACTCCACCATCCGAGTCGCACAGGGAACTCCTCCCAAGCCCACAGTAACAGAGCTTTGCCGTTTGAAATTGTAGCTGGGAAAATGACACCAAATGCTGGAGAGGTGGTAGAGTAGTCAGGTCACTTGCTGCTCTAACAGAGGACGCTGGTTCAGAACTCAAGTGTCAGCTCACGTCTGCTTGTAACTCCAGTTCCAAGGGATCTGACACCCTCTTCTGGACTCCACAAGGCATCACACATGTGTTGTACATCAAGCAAAATGCCCACAAACATAATTTTTAAAAATGACACCAGCCCAGGTGCGAGTGGTGGCACACACCTATAATTTCAACGCTCCAGGAGGCCTAGACAGGGGATGGCTGAAAGTTTGCAGCCAGCTTGGTCTACACAGTGAGTTCAAGGGCAGCCTAGAAGACAGAGACTGGAAGAAAAAGGAGAGATCTCAAAGGAGAAAAGAAATTGGGAAGGTGGCTCCCCAAGATGGACTGAAGTAACATGACCACCAGAAGCTGACCTGCCTTGTGGTTTCTGTTCTCAGCATTCCACAGCCAACTTAATTGCAGTCCTTGGGAACCAAGAGCCCAGTCCTGGACTTGCTTCAGATGTCTTAAACTGACTTGAGCCCCACCCTCCAACAAGCTCCTGTGAAAACTACCTGAGTCAGTTTTCTGATGGGCTGAGCAGCCAAGACAGTTCTTGGGTCCTCGAGGGCAACATAAGTCTTCAGTCTATGGCACATGGCCACAAGTCAGGCCATACAGGAGACCACACAGTGCCTGCCCTCAGCACCTTCCTTCCTCATCCAGTCCCCACCTGACAGGATTAACTAAAGGGAGAGGGTGGGGATGGAGGTGTGGCCATGGATGAAAGCTGAGGGGAAGAGGGGAGGTAGAGATGGAGAGGAGCTAGAGTCCAGAAGCTACTAGCAAGAAGCCAGATGGGTTATAAAGACCCCAAATGGATGTCTAGACTTGAGGGTTCATCCAATCATGCCACTTTCTGTGTCATGGGTCAACTGTCTTTCCAGGCCTTTTATAAGCATATGCCAGGGCCATATTCTGAGCCAGGGTTCAGAGAGGGCCACAGACACTCCTAACAGCAAGCTGAAGGCTCTTTCCATTGTAACCTGGCTTGATGGCTTGGTAGTCATTTCCAGGGAAGGGAGTGCTCTGTGGGTTCGGGTTTTAGGGCCTAATTGTTGTTACATCATGGGCCACAGGATACATGTGGAGATCAAAGGACAACTTGTTCTCTCCTTCTACCAAGTGGGTGCTGGAAACTGAACTCATGTCATCAGACTTTGTGGCAAGCTCCTTAACCCACTAACCATCATGCTGGCCCTGTGGTTTTTACTGTTTGCTGTCATTCTGAGATGAGGTCTCTCCATGTAGTCCAGGCTGGCCTCAAACTTCCAATCCTGTCTCCACCTCCCAAGCACTGAGATGACACAGACATCTAGCCTGGGAGCCTCAAATGTCTTTAGAGGCCCTGTGAGGTCTGCCCATGGGCAGGAGCTTCTGAGAAAGACATCGAAGACTAGGTTGGCTCAGGGATTTCACTGTACTCTGAAGCAGGGGACCCAGCACATACATTCTTCTGCTGGACAGAGTCCTAGAAGGAGAATTATGCACAGAAAATGCCTTATACACAGGACAAGGATGAACAGCTCAAGGTACCAGAGCCAGATATGAAAGCAGTGGGAAGGGGCCTCTCCCCACGCCTTCGTTCCGGGCCACTGCTATCACACGGTCCACTGTTTAGCCTGCTGTCACCCTTGCTCTGTGCCTGCCCAGTGGCCAGAGCCATCGTAAAGGAGGATGTCATCACACCACCGGCAAGGCTTCCTGCTGTGGTTCACAAGACCTTCCTTTCTAATCCACCTGTCACCAAATTTCTAATTTCAGTCAGGGCTGCTCCCTTCCTCCCTTCATGACTACCAACTTCAGCTACTGCCAGTGCCTTGAACTCTCAGCCTTTCCTCCCCAGCCTCCCCCTGAGCAGAGCAGCCCCCACTGCCACACTCAGAGCGTCATGCCTGCAGGACAGCACTTATTCTGTGACCCCTGAGCTGCCTCAGCATCCCTGATTCCCCTGCCACTGTTTGACTTAGCTGGACTTACCTGTTCCCCACAATCCATAAAGACTCCTTTCAGCCACTATCACCTCAGCACATACCCAGATGCCAGGCGCCTAGCCACTGGGATGAGAACCCATGCTCACAGCAGCAGGCCCAGGTGGGCAGGTGAGCCTACTGTACAGAAAGGACATTTGCAAGGCAGCAGGAGCCAAACAATAAGACTCATAGGCTTCCACAGGAGATGGGGAGCCACTAGCCAGGGGAATTCCCAATGAGATCTGGGAGCATAAAACCAAAGGGGACCATGAGGTCAGACGGAGACGTGGGCCAGACTTAGACAGAGTGAAGCCAGCATGCCCCCAAAGATGGTCCTGCCCCCTAGCCCCTGTGTACATGCCACCTCCCATAGCCAAAGGGACTGTGGGTGGGGTTGAGTCCACCACAGATGAAGAGAGTATCTTGGATGGCTCAGGTGGCCCCAGCTCATAATTGTATGGGCATAGTGGTTACACCTGCAGTCACAGCTCTCAGGAGGTGAACTCAGGAAGCTTAAGGTCAGCCTTATCTATCTCAGCCATTCAAGGTCAGTGTGGTATATGACACCTTGACTTACACACACACACACACACACACACACACACACACACACAAAGCTACAATGATGGCATACATCTTTAATCCCAACACTCAAAGAAGACACAGGCAGGCAAAGCTCTTTGAGTTCTAGCCCCCCCCCCCCCAGGTCCTCAGATGGAGGTCCAGGATAGCCAGGGTTACACAGAGAAACCCTATTTCAAAAAACAAAAACAAGCAAAACAAAAACAACAAAAAACAGTGATTTGAAATAAAACAGCAAACACTAAAACATAAACTGAGGGTGGGGGGGAGGGGAGGAGACCCTGCACCTGCCCCACTGTAGACCTTAATGAATTGAAATCACTCTCAATGTAAGTGACTCTGGGACCTGACTGCCTATGAGTTGACCAAAAACTACAGGAAAAGCCTGTTGGTGGGGGGTGTTCTTTGAAGGGGAGGCAGTCAACCCCTTGTCATCCCCAAGCAGGACTGGTTTGGGGAAATGAAGCCTTCCTCCAAAGGCTGCCTAGGGTCAGGTACAGTGGGATGCATCAACTCTGTATCTAACGCAAAGTCAAAGTGAAGACAGAGCCTCCTAAGCTCAGGAGTCCCAGCTTGCTCTGCAAGGTTTTCCTCCCTGGCTTAGGAATTGCCTCAGGGCAGGAGACAGCCACCCTCCACTTTCTGCACCACAGACCTTTGGAAGAGTTCTTCCTGGGTACAGCAAGGCCATGGAGCCTTATGCCCACCAGGTGGCACTCGTGACTGCTGCAAAAATAAATTGCAACAACTGTCTAAAAACTGCATTATTACCTTGGCTTTACAGGGCTTGAAGACACATACCTGTAATCCCAGGGCTCAGAAGATGACATGGAAAGATGGGGGTTCAAGAAGATGCCAGCCTCAGTACATGACCCCTATCTCAAATCATCAAAATAATAAGTTTGTTGTTGTTGTTTTGTTTTTTAATGGAGAAGGTGGAGGGCAGGAGCAATGACTCAGTGGTTAAGAGCACTAACTGCTCTTCCAGGGGACCCAGGTTTCATTCCCACTGTCCACATGGCAGCTCACAACCATCTGTGACTCTGGTGGCAGGGGACCCAACACCTTCTTGCCTCCAAAGGCATTCCATGTGCATGCTACATAGACATACATTCAGTACAAAGTAATAACATTAAATTTAAAAATAATGCAAAGGGGCTTGGAGAGATGCCTCGGCAGTTGAGAGGACTGGATGTTTCTGCAGAGGATACAGATGTGGCTCCTAGTTCCCACATGACAATTCACAACCCTGTAATTCCCATCCTGGGAGATCTGACACCCTCTTCTGGCCCCCATGGGGACACATGCACATGGCACACACAATACATTCAGGCAAAACACAATAAAAACAAATCTTTTGTGTTACTTTATTTTGTTTTTTGAGATAGGGTTTCTGTGGTGGCTTGAAAGAGAGTGGCCCTAAATAGGTTCATATATTTGAATATTTTAATGCTTAGCAAGATTACAAGGATTAGGAGGTGTGGCCTTGTTGGAGGAAGTGTGTCACCTGGGGGGTACACTCTTCTCCAGCACCATGCCTGCTGTGCCTGCCACCATACTCCCTGCCATGATGGTGATGAACTAAACATCTGAAACTATAAGCCAGACCCCAGTTACATGCTTTCTCTTATGAGAGTTGTCTTGGTCATGATTTCTGTCCTAGTTAGGGTTA